TATATATATATATGTAAAAGAAAGGAAACGTCGTTTCCTCAAAAAAAAAAAAAAAAAAAAAGCAAGAAGTGGGAGGAAAGGTGCTTTCCTCACCATGAGAAAAAAGGAAATGTGCGGCTGCACATTAACTAAGAAGAAAAGAAATTAGTCCGGTAGTTTTTGCCGCACGGAGAGAAACAAAAGGTTTTTTTTTTTTAAAAAGGAAAAAGAAAAAATGAGAGAATAAAAGAAAAATCAAAGAAAATTTTTTAAGAGCCATCACATACTTTTGAGAAAGTGAGTGATAACTATAGGTGACTTTCTTATTTATCAATCTCATGTGTTAAGAAATCCATTAGAATGCTCACACGTTCGAGTTCACGTTAATTCAGAGATACGTTGAGAAAGAATTGTGATGTTCTTAGAATTTAAGAGCTTAAGACGGTGTTAGAGGAGTTCAAGATTTACGTCTTAATCGAGCGACGGTAAAATTCTCATTCTTCTTTTTAATATCTTTGTAGTTAAATTAACATAAAATAATGATCACATTAAATTTTAATTTATGTGATTCGATCGATACCACGTTTCCGCACAATTTTTTTTTGAAAATCCGGTTTGAGAAACCAACATTCGTAAAATTTTGACTTTGATTCAATCTACCAACGAAAGCAAAATACTTAATTACACAGTTAGACAAACACAAAAAACATCTTCAAGATCGGAAGTCTCTTACCACGCACCAGCAATGGCTGTAGAAAGCCGTGCAATTTTGTTAATCTTGGTTTTGTCATGTTTCTGGGCAATCCTTTCTCACGCACAGATGAACAACACCATCAAACCAGGCCAAGTTCTACCCTACTCGGCTAAAAAGGCTTGTTTCCGCTGATGGCAGATTTCAGTTAGTCTTCTTCAACATCAATTATTGGAGGGCAAAAGGGTATTTAGGAATACGCTAAACTTATGCAGATTATGACCACACTGTCTGGGTTGCTAAGCCAGGAGAGCCTATATCTGGAGTCAATATCACTCTCACACTAGACTCCAATGGATTACTGAAGATTACGCGCGGTGAAGGCGATCCAATCCCATTGAACTCTAACCAAACAGCTCCGAACTCTGTAGCTACTCCTGAGAATTCTGGAAATTTGGCAGTGTAGGAATTGAACTCAAATGGAAGTGTGAAGCGGGTCTTGTGGGAAAGCTTTGATTATCCCACAGGTACGTTATTTCCCGGTATGAAACTAGGCAAGAGCCTGAGAACAGGTAAAAGATGGGTTCTTACTTCTTGGTGCCCTGGGGCTCTTACACTCGAATATAATGACAGCAGCGCAGCAAACCATTCTGGAGGAGTATCGGTCATTAGACGCCGAGGGGAATTGTATTGGACAAGCTTATCGGTCGGGGACATATTCGGTAAGGACACATTAGTTATGTTTCTAATGAGACAGATAGCTTCTTCAGTTATTCCGGCCATTATTTGAGTCTGCAGTTGACCCCGGACGGCATGATTAGTTATGGTAATTTGAGTTCTAGTACAACCGAGATAAGTCAATGCAATGGGGATTATGTGGTAAGCGGGTGTGCTGAGCAACAACTGCCTGTGTGTAGGAGCAGAAGCGATAAGATTGAGCTGCTCCAGGGCAGGTTTCTAGAAGATAAGTCGAATTCAACTTGGTATGTGGATGGCAATTCAAGCATTAATCTTAGTGATTGTTGGGACCGGTGCTGGAAAAATTGCTCTTGTGTTGGTTTCGAGACATTCAACCTGGATGAAACGGGATGTCGTTTCTCGACTAGGGGGGCCAAATAAAGAACAAAGTTATGATGGAAGTGGAACCGTACTTCGCGTTGTAAACTCAAGCTTCCCAATTATTAGTAATCCAAAACCAGAATCAAATAGTGGTAAGATACTCTCTAGCTTCCTGTCTCTTAATGATTCGCATAAGGCTTGCTGTCTCTAGTTTCCTTAATAGGTTTGGGTAAGAAATGGTGGATATGGGCCATCGTTTCTACTGTGGCTGTTGTAGTTGTACTTTTCTCTGGTTTTTTATGTTATTTAAGGAGAAAGAGATTACAAGGTGAGCTTTTATGTCCTGTAGATATCTTTAAGTGTTAATAAATAAATAAAAATAAAAATAAAGCAGCATTGGTGTCTAACAATGCAATATTTTTTTGGAACAGAGAAAAAGGAGGAATCAATACTGAAAGAGCTGACAAATTCAGAAGGATTTAATAATACAGAAGAAATCATTGGCTTTGATGGAAAGAAAGGTAAGGATTTGAAGCTTTTCAGTTTTGCTTCCATTTTGGCTGCCACAGAAAACTTCTCCCCTGAAAATAAACTTGGCCAGGGTGGTTTTGGTCCAGTATTTAAGGTAGGTTTTAGAGCCTGATCCGCTGTTCTGCTCTAAGAGTACATTAATTTAGATAATAAATTATACAATATGAACTAGGGAAAATTGCTTGAGGGGCAAGAAATAGCAGTCAAACGGCTTTCAAGGAGTTCCCTACAAGGACTTGTGGAGTTCAAGAATGAGCTGATACTAATAGCCAAGCTCCAACATTTGCATCTTGTTAGACTCTTGGATTGTTGTGTCAGAGGTGATGAGAAGATGTTGATCAACGAGTACATGCCCAACAAGAGCTTAGACTTCTTTCTCTTTGGTACGCATATGCAGTTCTTTGGCAGTTTCATTTCCTGCACATCCATCTCTCTTTGACTTTAAGCAAATAAGATACAAATTATTCACACACAGCATATTACAGATCCAACAAGAAGAGAGTTGTTGGATTGGAAAAAACACTACAACGTCATTGAAGGCATTGCACAAGGGCTTCTCTATTTGCATAGATATTCTAGGCTGAGAATCATTCACAAAGATCTCAAGGCAAGTAATATCCTGCTTGATAAAGATATGAATCCCAAAATTTCAGACTTTGGTATGGCTAGAATCTTCTGGCGAAATGAATCGGATGCAAATACAGACAGGATTGTTGGAACATAGAAAGTAAACTTGTTGGTGTTCCTGCACTTTATTTAGATGCAAGTTTTTGTTAGTACTTACTTTTTTTGATGGCTTGTTAAAGTGGTTACATGTCACTGGAGTATGCCATGGAGGGAAATTTCTTCGGATATCTACAGCTTTGGAGTATTGTTGCTTGAGATTGTCAGCGGCCGGAGGAACACTGGCTTTTACAGTCCAGAATGCTCCCTAAACTTGGTGGGATATGTAAGTCATACTTATGATCAATCCTCTAAATATTATATAAATGTCTCTGCATTAATATTAAGCTTAAGTTGGTCATTACTTTGTCCGAATTGGTCAATTTTCAGGCTTGGGAACTATGGAAAGAAGGTAGCGTTACAGAGCTGATAGATTCAACATTATTAGCCGATTATTCTGCTAGACCACAAATTGTGAGATGCATTCGTGTGGGTCTGCTGTGTCTCCAAGACTGCGCAGCAGATAGGCCAACAATGGCAGATGTGCTTCAAATGATTTTCAACCAAAGTGTGCCTCTACCTGTTCCAAAGCGAGTGTCGGTTCCCTTTCAGCTTCAAATGCATGACTCGAATTCTTATGGAACAAACCAGGAAAGTTCTTCAGTACCTACGTCTATTACAGTATTCGAACCAGGGTAAAAGTTTGATCAGCAGCCAAAGGAATTAAGCGGCATGGGAAGAATTAGTTCCCCGTTTGAAAGTGTGCTTATATGTTATACATTTATATAGCCCAGCCTGAGGTACAAAGCTTACAAGATAAGATCCTTATCGACAAGATAATAATTACTTTTTGATATTTGTTTCAAGAGGACGGCCTACTTTATATAGGATAAGATTCTTATCCGATAATACTATTCTACTTTTGACTTATCTTACAAAAAGATGAAATTACTTTTGACAATTTTACAACGAGATATACATTACTATTTTACTTTTGACTTATCTTACAAATAGACAAACTATCTTTGTTTCTAATTTTGTTGATCTAATTATCAGTTTTTTATTGTTACTTATTTTTTTTGGTGGAAAGATACTTTTAAAATTAGGAGTATAAAACCCATCTTACTGTTTCTCTGTCATGTTCTATTCATTTCATTCCTCTCCAAGTTGGTTTTAACAATTAGGCTTTCTTATTCACAATCTGTTTGTTCATTAGATTTTTCCTCTCTATCTCTTTTCTTTTTCCCCGCTCAAAAGGAAAATTCCTTAGAATTCAGTAAATAGCCATATCTTAATCGATAAACAATAATAACTCCAATAACAACACAATAAACAACAATAACACTTGAAACCACAAAGGCTTAAAGATAACATGACTAGAAAACGACAGCAAAAATAAAACGAAACTAACATGAAAACGACGTTAGCGCCAAAAAGGACAATATATATGGAACGTATCAAAAACGACAATGATAAAATAAACGACAATAACATAAAAAAAGACATTAAATGGAAAAGGCAACAATAACTCGGAAAGTTGTTACAACCTGGGAAACAGAGATAACAGAATAAGTTAATGACAACAGACAGTAAAGGACATCAAGAAAACAGAACAAAAAGCTAAAATAAACGACATCACACAACACAATATTCTCAATAAACGACATAAACTTCAAAAAAAAAAAAAAGGTATCTATAAACGGTATTAACACTACAAAGAACAATAGCAGCAGCAACAACATTTTGATAGAAACAAGACACGAACTAAATAAACCACAATTTTAAAAGAACGACATTTACTGGGAAAACAGCAGAAAACGAAAATTAATTTGGAAAATGACATAAGAACAACAAAAGATAAACTGGAAACGACATCACATAAGAGGACAAAAACATCAAAAAAACGAATTTCGGCGTAACAACCCCAAACTGCCATTACTGAGAAAACGACAAAAACATCATGTAACGACATCAACTGAAAAAACAGAAAGGACAACTTATAAAGGTAGGTCAGATCATGAACCCGATCAGCTCGTTTTTGTTAATGGTCTTCTCCCTCTAGTGATTTTTTGTCTCTTCTCTCTACAGCTGTTATGAAAATACTTTACTTAGCTTGAAGGATTAAGACAAAGATCGTTATGCTCCTGATTTAGTCACGTTTGTGTGTAGAAGGGCTCTAGTAACTGAAACAACTTTGACAAATTTTTTATAGCTTCAGTTGATTGAAGATTTCAATTAGGCATTGCTTCAACCTTAGGCATCCACCAAATGGGTTTTTGGGAATATTTGTACCCCAAGGAACCAAGAATTTTAATGAAATAATACTATGTAAGATAACAAGCCGACTTTTGACATATAAATTCAACTTTGATTTGTTAAAAATGCCCTCACGATGCACTTACTTTCTCAACTAGCATTATCTAATTAATTAACTCTCAAATAAACAATGGATACTCTCTGTATTCCGCGTGGTGTCCATGTGCTTATTCTGCTAAAAATTTTGACTCTTCCAGCTGAAATAAAATACTTGTTACAGAGATGAACTCTTGAACATATATAGAAACAGCTTAAGATCGGAATGCTATACCAGCAATAATGGCTGATAAAGTTGAAGCAGTACTAAGCCGTGCGGTTTTGTCAATCCTTATTTTGACGTATTTTTGCTCTAGCCTTTCTCACGCACAGAAGAACAACACCATCAAACCAGGCCAAGTCCTGTTCTCGTCCGAAAAATTGCTCGTTTCTGCTAATGGCAGATTTCAGTTTGGCTTCTTCAACGTCAGCGTTCCGCCGTGTTTAGGTATAAGATACACCGATAAATTTTACACCGATGTAGTATTGGTTGCTAAGCCAGATCAAACACCTATATATGTGTTAGTGTATTTTGTAATTTTAGGTTGGCATATTTTTGACAAACTGGTTGTAATGCATTCTAAAATAGACATCTGCTCATTTTACTTGGTTAACCTACGCTGGAGCATTATGGCCGGTTCATCTAAGGAAAGAATCATGGAAATTATAGTCTCCTTACTGTCATTGGGGCTGGCGGCTTTATTGGTGATTAATGGATGAGATATTACCTTTATTGGGTGTAGTTATCGTTGACAAAAGATGCATGGTGCAATGCATGTGTATAAGGTGTTGTACAAGAAGTAATTGGGTGAGATGGCTTGACAGCTAGTAAAAAGGATTTGGTCTGTAATTCAAAGGTGGTGATTAAGAGAATCGGGGAACTAATTCTTTCAAAGAGTCCAACATATATTTTTATATATACCACCTAAAGAGAAAAGGTAAGCTGCGGCAATTCAAGAGAGAATAGACAAAAAATATTTAAGAGGGATTTTAATTGAAAATATTCAGAGAAAAATCTATGAGATAGTGAGCATTTGAGTGTTGATTGAAGATCGCTCTTCGGGAGAAGGATTATAAGCTTTTGGGAGAAACGCACTGCCAGTCGAAGGGATTTCACCGTGCAGTTAAAGACGAGTGGTGCTCGCTGGATAAGGCCATTAAGGAGATTCGACACGACGGCGACAACGTCAAAGAGGGAGTCTTTGAGTGTATAAGTCCGGTTGGTGTTTTGAAACCTTTTGGAACTTAGTGAATTGTTCAATGTCTGGGCGTGGCCCCGCAGAGTAGGTGTGCGCACCGAACTGCGATATCATTTTATGGTGTCTTTTATGTTTTTGCATTATTTTCCTGCATTGATGTTTTGCTGGTTTAATTTCATATTTGTTGTTAAAAAAGTGTTACAGTAAAGTGTTATAACACTCTCTGTGACACTAGCGACAAAAACGAACCTAACAATTGGTATCAGAGCGGTTCACTAACAGTTTGCTTGGTGAGATTTTGGAAACTGGTCTGTTACAGCGGGTATGGATTTTTTAAAAGAAGGCGGTTCAGTTTCACGTCCTCCCCTCCTAGACGGTTCCAACTACTTATATTGGAAAGCGAGTATGAAGGCGTTCATCAAAGCTATTGATGAAAAGGCACATAAAGCTGTCTTGACTAGTTGGGAGCATCCAGTTACAAAGGATTCTGAAGGGAAGGAGATATTGAAGCCCGAAACTACTTGGTCAACAGAAGAGGACAAGTTGGCGAACAACAACTCTAAAGCGTTGAATGTTTTCTTCAACGGGGTAGATGCAAACCAATTCAAGCTCATTTCAACGTGTGAAATAGCCAAGGATGCATGGGAGACATTGCAAATGACACATGAAGGAACGGCTACCATGAGACTCTCTAAACTTCAAATCCTTACTACAAGATTTGAGAATCTTCGAATGCAAGAAGATGAAATAATTTCTGAGTTTAATTCAAGATTGTGTGATATTGCTAATTAATGAGGCATTTGCCCTTGGAGAGAAAATATCAGAGGAGAAGCTTATGAGGAAGGCCTTAAGCTCTCTTCCACAGAGATTTGCTTACAAGGTGACAGCTATCGAGGAAGCCAAGGATGTCCAAACAATGAAACTTGATGAGCTAATGGGTTCTTTGTGCACTTTTGAGATGAATTTGGATGAAAACAAGGAAGGAAAGAAGGAGAAAAGCATTTCCTTTCAAGCTGAAGTTGAATCTGATGATGAAGAAGACTTGGCCCAGTCCATAACAAGGTTGTCGAAGAAATTCAACAAGGTGATGAAGAAGGTGAATAGGAAGAATGAGAATTCAAGAAATGACAACTCTAACAATTTTCAAAAGAGTAAATCTGCAATAAATAGCACAGAATTGAAGACAAATATCAGAGGTATTCAATGCCGAGAGTGCGACGGATATGGACATATTCAATCCAAATACGCCAATACCTTCAAGAAGAAGAAGAAGTCGTTTAATGCAACTTGGAGTGATGAAGAGTCAGAAGGCAGTCAGGAAGATGATGAACATGTGAGCAACTATGTTGCTTTCAATGTTTATGCTGATATGGACGTTTCTGCAGATAGTGTTACAGAAAGCTTATAAGACCATGTTCAGTAAATAGGTTAAAGTGTGTGAAATGAATAAGTCTCTATGGGAACGAGTTGATGACCTTGTTAAAGAGAATGATGTGCTTAAAAGGGCTGCTGTAAACTATGAATTTCAAACTACTGAAAATGAGAAAAAGCTGCAGGACACAAGGGTAGAATTGGAGCGCATTCAAAAGTCACTTAAAATGATGAATTCTGACACTACCAAACTTGATCATATTCTCTCTATGGGAAAAGCTAGTTGTGATCGTCATGGACTTGGCTACACTGGTGAATGTTCAACATCCAAGACAGTGTTTGTGAAGGAGACACTTGCTCCTGAATCTCGGACTATCCTCAGTAAGAAAGGTAGTATCTTACCCCTACGACGTAAAAAGTTTGTTATCACATGTCATTACTAAGGTTTAGCTGACCATATAAGACTAAGATGCTACAAGTATTTGAATGCTTTGAAGGGAGGTATGCTCATGAATCCACCAAATTTCACAAACTCAAGAAGGACACCTAAAGTAAAGAATGATGTGCAAAATAAATTTCCTATATGTGTTTAGGTAAGGAAATCTGATTTAAGGTGTCATAGGACTTGCACTTCTTTTAAAGCATGTATTACTAACTCTGAGTATTGTGGTAATGGTCACTCCAAGCTTTTGATAGATGATAAAAGCAATATGCATGGAAGAATATTATATTCAGGGCGAGTAAGACTCGTAGAGGACTCAGGGGGAGCAAGTTGCAGAAATCAATGAATTAGAATGTGATTTGTAGGAAAGTGTTATACCGAGTGTTCCATCTAGTGTTACAACACTTTCTGCGACAACGGCTTCAAAAAGGTTATTATATTAGTATTATTTTTGTTTTGGCCTATTTTTGTCAAAAAGAGGGAGAACATTGTACTTTTATGATTTGCATGTACTTTTATGATTTGCCTTTTTTTTTTTAATTTTTATAACTTGTGTTAATTTTGCCAAAAATGCCTAAGTGGGAGATTGTTAGTGCATTTTGTAATTTTAGGTTGGCATATTTTTGGCAAATTGGTTGTAATGCATTTTAAAATAGGCATCTGCTCATTTTACTTGGTTGACCTACACTGGAGCATTATGGCCGGTTCATCTAAGGAAAGAATCATGAGAATTATGGTCTATTTACTGTCATTGGGGTTGGCGGCTTTATTGGTGATTAATGGATGAGATATTACCTTTATTGGGTGTGATTATCGTTGACAAAAGATGCATGGTGCAGTGCATGTGTATAAAGTGTTGTATGAGAAAGATTATAAGCTTTTGAGAGAAACGCACTGCCAGTCGAAGGGATTTCGCCGTGCAGTTAAAAACGAGTGGTGCTCGCTGGACAAGGCTATTAAGGAGATTCGACACAACGGCGACAACGTCAAGGAATGAGTCTTTGAGTGTATAAGTCCGGTTGGTGTTTTGTAATCTTTTGGAACTTAGTGGATTGTTCAACGTCTGGACGTGGCCCCGTAGAGTAGGTGTGCGCACTAAATTGCGATATCATTTTCTGGTGTCCTTTATGTTTCTACATTATTTTTCTGCATTGCTGTTTTGCTGGTTTAATTTCAGATTTTTTGTTAAAACAGTGTTACAGTAAAGTGTTATAACACTCTTTGTGATACTAGCGACAAAAACATACCTAACAATATGGAAGCAACACAACTCTAACGCTGGATTCTGATGGGATCATGCGCAATGGAGGCGATCCAATCCCGTTGAACTCCAACCAAACAGCCCCGAACTCTATAGCTACTCTGGAGAATTCTGGCAATTTGGTGGTGAAGGAATTGAGTTCAAATGGAAGTGTGAAGCGGGTCTTATGGGAAAGCTTCGATTATCCCATAGACATGTTATTACCGAGAATGAAACTAGGCAAGAACTTGAGAACATGTAAAAGATGGGTTGTCACTTCTTGGCTGACAGACGATGTCCCGAGACCAGGAGCGTTTACTCTTAAATATAATGGTTCTAGAGGATTATTGGTCATCGGACGCCGTGGGGATTTGTATAAGACAAGGGAGCTATCAGATACATATGACATGAATTCCATTAGTTATGTTTCTAATCAGACCAAGAAGTTTTTGAACTATTCTCGTAAAAGCCATATTTTCGGTCTGCGCTTGACCCCGGATGGCATTTTTTCTTATGGTAATTCAAGTTTTACTATAATTGAAATCAGTCTGTGTTATGGCTATTGCATGGAATACGGGTGTGTTGAGCAGAGATCGCCTGCGTGCATGAGCAGCCGTGATCGGTTTGAGAAGCTCCGAGGCCGGTTCTTAGACGATATACCCTATCCAACTTAGGTTGAGGATGCTAAATCAACCAATAGTCTTAGTGATTGCTGGGATCGGTGCTGGAAAAATTGTTCTTGTGTTGGTTTTGATATGCTCATCCCAGATGAAACTGGATGTCGTTTCTGAAGTAAAGGAGCCAAATTTAAACAAAGTTATTATGGAAGTGGAACCTTCATTTATGTCTAGAATTCAAGTTCCACTATTATTGATGACCAAAAGAGTGGTAAGATTAACATAAAATAAACTAAGTTTATCCTCTGAAAAATTACTTGTTTCAGATGACGGGAGATTTCAGTTAGGCTTCTTCAAAGTCAGTGATTCGGAGTGTTTAGGAATACGGTACACCGGCGAATTTTATAACCATATAGAATGGGTTGCCAAGCCAGAAACACTGATATCATATGGGAGTGACACAAATCTAACATTGGATTCCAATGGTCTTCTGAAGATCACGCACTAAGGAGGCGATCCAATCCCATTGAACTCCAACCAAACTGCTCCGATGAAGTTTATTTTCCTTTGTTATCTTCCTCTCTATTTATTATACTGATGAAGCTTGTTTTTTCTTACTTATCTCACTTTGTTATCCCTTCTCTCTCTTACTAGGTTTAGATAAGAAATTGTGGACATGGGCCATAATTTCTATAGTGACAGTTATAGTTATATAACCTCATTGGTTTCTCATGTTATTTGAGAAGAAAAGGATTACAAGGTGAGGTTTTACTTCCTATGGATATATTGAGTTCTTGTAAGAAACTAGCATTAGTGTCTAAAAATTGCAACCTTTTTATGGAACAGAGGAATAGAAGAGTCTCGCACTGCTAAATGAACTGGCAACTTCAGAAGGATTTGACAATAAAGATCAATCATTCAACATCTGTGCTAAATCCTAAGAGTGTGGAAGATTTTTTTTTTTTTTTACTTTATTTGATTTATTGTGATTTAGTTGCATCCCATTTTATCTTTAGCACGTAAATATGTTTTCGTTAGCTTGTTTCTGGTCCTGCACTTGTGAATATATTGCCATCTCTGCCTCGAAAGGATGCAAGTTATGTTTCAAAATGGGATTGCGTTTTCTGGTATCAGAGATGTTCTTGCTCCGCATAAGTTTTTATTGTCCTGCCATGACTTTCCATCACCAAACAAGCAATAGGAAGAATAATTCTAAATCAATTGTTATAATATCGTAGCTACTTTATAGACTAATTATAAAATCAAAACTAGAAACTAAATACCAAACTAAATGTTAAAATCATAAAAAATTTCCTAAATTAAAATTAGAAAAAAAAAAAATCAACCGCAATGAATCCTAATAAGTGTGATCTACATCATTTGTCATCAATCATTATAGCTCATATTCGTGGGTCCATTTAACCTCTCGCTAGCTATATTATTTTCTGCAATGTGTCTTGAAATTAATATTGAAAAAATCATTTATATATTCCAGTTTGGACATTCCCCCATAAATTCCTTCTAAAAGGACAAGAACGTAGATAATGACAATCGAACAAAATAGAAACTAATAAGAACGGATAACCGACAACCTACAAAACGACATTGACTTGACAACGACAATAAAAAAAACACGACATAAAGTGGAAAACAAGATCACAAGAAAAACAAACATAAACTGAAAAATGACATCAGCAACAAAGAATAATAATATAAAAAACGCATTGATGGGGTTAGCGACAAAATAATGAAACGGCAATTGTAAAAGAAAACGATTGTGAGGAAAAACGACATAATTAAGAAAACGACATATAAAGACAAACTAAAAAAGGACATGACCAAGTGAACGAAAAAAAATAAATAAAATAAAAATCATCCAAAATACAACAACAACCTAGAAGATAACATTTACCGGAAGCGGCTATAAATGTTTTTGGAAAATAAGAACCAACATGATCTGGAAATAAACATCATCATAAAACGACAACAACAATAACATGTATAAGAAAAACCAGCTTTTTCGTTTTGCTTTTTGAATTTAATAGCTGCTGTCTTATTATTTTTCCTTTATATAAGGTCATGTCTTTTGTTTTCAAAAATCCAACGACATGTTTAGGTTTTTTTTACCTTTGATTCACTCCACCGTTAGCTAAATGGTTAATTATTTTAAATAATACATTCCACATCACATCAGTTAAAGATAGTTAGTATAGAGACACTAGTTATTTTATTTTTTGTATTACTTTATTCTTTTAATTGTAATAAATGTAAATAATTTTTTTTTGTATTACTTTATTTAGAGTGACTCATTAAAAAGTTACAAACTAAAATAGTTTTCTATCCATTTTAACTAAAATTTAACAAATTTTCTTGCAGATACTCTAATAGACTGAATCACTCCAATTTACATTGGATAAATTATATAAAATCATTCAAAATACTCATAGTCTAAATCCATCTATAATACTAACAACAAGATAACATGACATTAACTATAATTTCATACATATCTCTAAATTATTTTTTTTATTACTAACAACAATAATGTGATACTAATTATATTTTCATAAATATTTCTCAATTATTTATTTTAAATTAACTTAACCCCTAAATTATTAATTTTATGTAAACTTATGTTCAATCTAATTAGAAATAAATTGTCATAAAATCAATAATTCAAAAAATATTTATAAAATTACATTAAAATTTAAAAGGTATTTTAAATTATTTTATTATACATTTAAAGAAGCGAAATGAACCTTTTTATTATTATTTAAGATTAACTGTTGTTGAACTATAGTGTATAATTCATGTTGTTTAGGAAATTAATCTAAAAGAGATTAAGAAAAAGGAAAAAGAAAAAAAAGAAAAAGAAAAAAAGAGGACAAAAGGGAACGGAAGAAGTAAAGGCGCGCCTCTTGACCTGCTTCTACCTGGACGGTGCGTTTTGATTTGCTCCACACAGACAGCTATCGTCTTTTCCTTTCTCCTCTTCTCTCTCTCTCTCTTCCCCCAAAAGCAGAAGTATTATTAGCTCTCTCTCTTCGGTCTTTGAGAGCCGGAAGCCTTTCCTAGCATCGCCGCTGAGTTTGGATTCCTTCCTCTTTCTCTCCCCAATTCGAGTATTGTTCTTCGATTCTCTTCTAAGAAGATTTTCAATAATTAGGGTTTTGATTTCCAGTCTGCTTGCCGTTACATTACTGTACCCGCGCCGATAAGATTTGTTCTCCGAGTACTCGCCGCCCGATTACTCCTTTGGAATTAGGGTTTTTGGGGTTCAATTTTTAGAGAAATGTATGCTGATCGAGTGGAGGCTGAAACCAGGAGATCGATAAAGGATCGTCTTAATGGCAACTTCAGAGATGACTCTTCTCGCCGCCGCCAAATTACCGGAAAAAGGTTCGGTTTCTCTTCCTCCATTGTTTCTTCTTTTCCAAGAAAGTTACACCTTCATCGGACATTTTCCTGTTAGGAGAATTTTGATTTATAATGCCCAAGTTTTATCAGGAAGTGGAATTTGTATCCCAGAAAATTTGGACTCAATTAGGGGAGACGAAGTAGTAAGTGTTACCTCTCATTGCTTTTGAGAATGGTGGATCTTAGTGTTTATGAGATCGCTTGTTACAATTTTCATTGACTCTATATTTGCCTTTTAGAGTTAGGAAGTGGCTTTACTTGAATTCAACTAGAATAAAGCATCGAAACCTTTAAAATTTATTTCTTTTTGTCTTGCAATATGCGTTAGTAGAAGGCTGTTATTTGCTCTTGTTATTTTGTTTAAATGGATGGTTATTATTATGATTATTATTATTGGATTGGCTTGTTTATTTACATACTTTTTGAGTAGTAGGAATTGGGAAATGGAATGAAATTTACAAAAGCTCCCACTTTCAATTGTTGAACGCTGGGTACTGGGGCCTAGAAAGAAATCATAACCAAGTATGTGTTCATAACTTGCAGGCAGAGGCAAGATGACAAATGGGAACATGATCTTTATCAGGATGGTGAACCTCAAGTTTCAAGTATGGATTACGATATGATCACATGTCAACTGAAAATTTGCATCTACTACTATTGTAGGATTCCAGTATATCATCTTTATGTGGTTTTGACTGTATGTTAATGGGTTGTGAAGATCACAAAGTTGATGCTCGGGATCTTCGATTGAAGCTCCAAAGGAAAAGTCAACAAGCATCTGAAAGTGGAAGAGGGTCTCAATCAGGAGTAAGGGATCTACGTGAAAAGCTATCCGGCACTATGCATCCACAACCCATGAATTATGATCCACCAAAGCCTACACCAGAGGCTAGTAAACCTGCGAGGAAAAGTGTCGCCGTTCAAGCCTCCACCCTAGAGAGTAAAAAGGTTTCCAACGCAGCTGCTAAGAAGAAGGCTCCTCAGAAGGCACGTATCAATTCTTTTTTTCATTTTGCCTTCCCTTAGTTTTTGCTGCATATTAGTTGATAGTCAAATTCCATTGGGTAAATAAAAAACACAGATTCATTACTGCAATTTTTTTCTCTTTTTAATTTCCTACTCTTGTGTGCAGGCAAGTTCAACAGTGGATGATTTTCTGCAGTCCTTGGGTCTTGAAAAATATTCCATCACATTTCAAGCGGAGGAGGTATGCTTCTTTTTAAAATAAAAAATACTATATGCCATTTTATATCACCTACCTCAACGAAAATATTGTTCACTTGAATGCTTAAATTGATCGTTTTTGTCCAGGTTGATATGACAGCTCTTGCACACATGACAGATGAAGACCTAAAGGCTATCGGAATACCAATGGTAAACTCAATGAGAATCCCAGTTTTTATATGCCTTTTTTAATTTTTAATTTGTATTGCTTATGTTCTTCCGGCTAATTAGCCGACCCCAATTAAGTTAGGATTAAGGCTTGTTATTGTTGTTGTTGTTGTATGTTCTTCTGGCTAATGATGGCTCTGAGTTATATACAACAACAACAACAAGCCTTAATCCCAACTTAATTGGAGTCGGTTATATGGATTTCACTTTTTCACGCAGGTCTGTTCGAAATTAAACTTTTCTGAAGGCCTAGATCTAGAATGTCTTTCTTAACTATTTCGATCCACGTAATTCTTGGTCTACCCCTCCCTCTCCTAATATTAGGTATAAGAATGTCTTTCCAAGCACGAACTGGTACTTCTAGCGGTCTACGTTGTACATGGCCGTACCACCACAAGCAGCTTTCGTGCACCCTATCTTCTATTGGTACTACACCTACTTTACTACAAATAACTTCATACCTTATGCGATCCATTCCCGTATGATCACTCATTTCTGTCACACTTATCTTAGATATATGTTGTCTCTTAATCGCCCAACATTCACTACTATATAACATAGCTGGGCGGATTACAATCCTATAGAACTTTCCTTTCAACTTAATAGGCATCTTGCCATCACATACAACTCTCGTAGCATTCTTCCACTTAACCCACCCTGCCTTAATCCTATGTTGAATATGCTCTTCTATATCTCCTTTGTACTGCACTATAGACCCAAGGTACCTAAACTTTCTAGAAGCCTCAATCTCCACACCATCTAAAGAAATTCCATCACTCTGATTACTTGAGTTATTAAACCTACAATGCATGTATTCAGTTTTCATCTTACTTAACTTAAATTCTTTCGTCTCGAGAGTCTGTCTCCACATTTTCAACTTACGGTTAACTCCTTCTCTATGTTCATCAACTAAAATTATATCGTCCGCAAAAAGCATACACCAAGGAACTTTATCTTGGATTTCTCGTCAGCTCATCCACCACGATGGTGAAAAGATAAAGACTAAGAGTAAATCCTTGATGAAGGCCGATCCGAATGGGAAGCTCTGCCGTGTAGCCTCCAGCAGTTCTCACACTCGTGACCACCCCATCGTACATGTCCTTAATTATCTTGATATACCTCACATGCACTACTCTCTTTTCTAGCACCCACCATAAAACTTTACTCGGCACTATGCCTTTTCTAAATTTATAAAGACTATATGTAGGTCTGTTTTTGCTTCTCTGTACCTTTTCATTAGCATCCTAAGAAGAAAAATGGCTTCCGTGGTTGATCTGCCTGACATGAAGTCAAATTGGTTACCCGAGATGGTAGTTATGGCCCTTAATCTCCTTTCAATAATTCTCTCCCAAAGTTTCATAGTGTAGCTTATTAACTTTATGCCCATATAATTGTTACAATTCAGCATATCTCCTTTATTCTTGAAGATGGGGACAAGAATATTTTTCCTCCATGCATCAGACATATGCTTCTTCTTTAGTATCTCATTAAAAAGCTTAGTGAGCCACACAATTCTAACATCTCCTAACGCCATTCAAACCTCTATTGGAATATCATTTGGCTCACATGCCTTCTTTTTTTTTCATTTTTCGTAGTGCAGTTTTAACTTCTGAGACTCTGATTCCTCTTGTATACTGATAAGCCCCCAATCAGGTTTACATATGTCAGGTGTGCCAAGATTGTGCGCTAGGAGTGGGGTGACGTGTCTGTGGGCTGTGGAGACATTAGGAATATGGGTTAAGGGTGTTTCCGTGCAGGGGCACTAGTATCTTTTCCTTTTGGTTAATAAAAGAGGGGTCAGATGGGTGGTGTGGTTTTTACGTGGTTTTTGGGTGAGTGATTGTAAAGGGGAGAGAGCTAGACCTCTCGAACGTCCATGCGAGCTTGTAACGGTGCTTGGGAAAAACCAGTATCAATACAAAGTGTTTTTCATTCTAATTCCTTCTTGATTTCTCGCTGTATCTATTGATTCTCGTTATTCCTAGTGTGTGCTTACCAATTTGGTATCAGAGCATCTCGATTTGGGAATGGTGAACAATAGGAAACCAGGAGGCAAGGCTGAGGGCGGAGGGGGAGTCCTGGGCGAAGCGCAGCCGGAGACAATGGATACGCGGATCTCGGCGGTGGAGGAGCGGATCGAGTAGGTTCAAGGTGGTCTGCTGAAGTTGGAATCGGTGGAGAGGAGTTTGACGTTGGTATTGGAGAAGATCTCGGGCCTTGAACGACTGGAGCAGGTTCTCCGGAAGATGGAGGAAACGGTATGGGTGGAGGCCCTACTGATGGACAAGGGGAAGGCGAAGGAGCCAGATCTACTGTCGGATATGGGTTCAACGGCTGAAAAGGGGGGAAAACCGATACTCGCTCCGCTTCCGGGGTCGGCGACACCGTTTATGGAGGTGGAGGGAACGGAAGGTGGTTCGAGTGGAGGCCGCGAGGGGAGTTGAAAGGGGGAATTTACGTCTCATCGCCTAGAGATGCCGATCTTCGAGGGTGTGAACCCGGAAGGATGGGTCTATCGGGTAGAACACTATTTCACCCTCATTCGCTTGACCGAAGAGGAGAAATTGTCTGCGGTGGCGATCGTGTTGGATGGGGAGGCGTTAGCTTGGTTCCAGTGGGAAGAAGGACGACGACCCATGAGAAGCTGGTCGGAGGTAAAGTCGAATCTACTGGATCGTTTCCGGTTGACTCAGGAGGGCTCGAGTTGCGAGAAGTTTCTAGCCCTGCGTCAGGAGGGGTTGGTCCGGGAATTTCGGCGCCTATTTGAGGTCCTAGCAGCGCCTCTTACGGGGGTACCGGAGCAAGTGTTGTAGAGCACGTTTATTAATGGCCTCAAACCGGAAATACATGCGGAGGTGAGAATGATGCGGCCCGGCGAATTAGCGAAAATTATGGAGTTAGCTCAGCGGGTGGAGGACCGAAATTTGTTGCGGCCGGCGAGGGTGATGGGAAATCCAAGCACTTCTCGGCACCCAGCTCTGACCTATGGCCAAAGTATGTATGCATAGCTCCCTTCAATCCCACACCTAATCACGGACAGGTAAGACCCCCGGGGCCGAAACCAACTCTTCCATTCAAACGTGTGTGATTCTAAGCTTCAACAAAAGAAAGAAAAAGGACTTTGTTTCCGTTGTGATGAGAAATATTCTATCGGGCATCGATGTAAGAACAAGTAGTTCCATGTCCTAGTAGTTAATGATGAGGTTGAAGGACCTGCAGAGATGAGGGTGGTGGCACTAAGGAAGCCCCCAAGGAGCCAGTAATTGAAGAGATGGTGGAGCTCTCCATCAACTCTGTGGTGGGGTTGGTGAGCCCAAAGACTATGAAGGTGAAGGGCCGAATTGCACGGTAGGAAGTCGTGGTGATGATTGATTGTGGGGCGACCCACAACTTCATTTCTACCGATCTCGTGGAGAATTTGGCCATTCCACAAGTGCCGATCAATGGGTATGGAGTGTTGATGGGCACGGGATTCACGGTTAAAGGTGAGTGCCTGTGTAAGGGAGTGGTTTTGTAGTTGCAAAACATAGAGATTATGGAGGATTTTCTTCCCCTCGAATTGGGTAGTGCCGACGTCATTTTGGGGATGAAGGGGCTAGAGACGTTGGGGGGTATGCAAGTGAATTGGAAGACGCTTACTATGAGATTTAGGACGGGTGGCGTGGCAGTCACTCTGCAGGGGGACCCAAGCCTTTGCAATTCCTTAGTTTCCTTAAAGGCGATGATGAAAGCGATTCGGGAGGAACGGTCGGGGGTGTTACTGGAGCTCGGTAGTTTAGAAGTGGCAGCGGGAGGGAGCTTGAACCCAGTGCCGGCACCCTTGGAAGGATTGTTGCGGCAATATGATCGGGTATTCGAGTGGCCAGCCGAGTTGCCACCCCAACGAGCTCGGGATCACGCGATCACGCTGCAGCCGGGCACGGCTCCGGTGAATGTTCGACCATACCGTTATCCCCATGTTCAAAAGGGGGAGATCGAAAGGCTGGTTCGGGAGATGTTGGCAGCAGGGATTATACAACCAAGCACAAGTCCCTATTCCAGCCCGGTTTTGTTAGTCAGGAAGAAAGACGGTAGTTGGCGTTTCTGTGTAGACTACCGGGCTTTGAACAAGGTAACGGTGCCGGATAAGTTTCCCATACCGGTTATCGACGAGTTGCTCGATGAATTACACGGGGCGCAGATTTTCTCCAAGCTTGACCTGAAATCGGGATACCACCAAATACGGGTGAGAGGGGAGGATGTGCCCAAAACGGCGTTTCAGACCCATGAGGGGCACTACAAATTCCTAGTAATGCCCTTTGGCCTTACAAATGCCCCGGCCACTTTTCAGGCCCTTATGAATGCCATTTTCCGCGACTGCTTACGCCGGTTCGTTCTTGTATTTTTTGATGACATTTTGGTATATAGTCACACGTGGGAGGAGCACCACGCTCACTTGGCGATGCTACGTTGGCCGGTTCCGCGAGCTGCGTGGGTTTTTGGGGTTGACGGGATACTACCGTCGCTTTGTTAAAGGCTATGGGGAGTTGGCTTGGCCTTTGACCACCCAGCTGAAAAAGGATAGTTTTCATTGGGAAGAGGAGGTTGACGCAGCCTTTAATAAGCTCAAGGAGGCTATGACTAGTGTCCTAGTGCTTGCCCTGCCCGATTTTTCCAAGCCGTTTGTACTGGAGACAGATGCGTCGGGACATGGACTGGGAGCGGTTCTTATGCAAGACCAACGTCCCATCGCTTACTACAGCCACGCCCTTCCAACAAGCTCACAGTTGAAGTCGGTTTACGAACGGGAGCTAATGGCAATTGTATTCGCAATTCAAAAGTGGCGGCATTATCTTTTGGGGTGTCGCTTTGTGGTGCACACGGACCAACGCAATCCACAATTCCTTTTGGAACAGCTTATGGTGAGTGAGGAGCATAAAAAATGGTTGGTTAAATTGATGGGCTTTGATTTTGAAATCCAGTACAAGCTGGGGTTGGAGAACAAAGCGGCCGATGCTTTATCCCGCATGGATTCTACTGCCGTTTTGCTAGCCATGACGCTGCCCCATGTCGTGCAGTTGGAGGATGTTGCTGCATAGGTCCACGCAAATGTACGGTTGCGAGCTATCGCGAAAGGCCTTCAACAGAACCCCAGGGCGTGGCCTGGGTACTCCCTGGTGCAAGGCCGCCTTCTGTACAGGGATCACTTAGTGTTGCCTAATAGCTCACCTCTCATCGGCTTGCTTTTGAAGGAGTACCATGACAGCGGCGTGGGGGGCCACTCGGGGGTGCTAAAGACGCTCAAACGGATTGTTGCATCGTGGTATTGGGAGGGAATGAAAGGGGATGTACATCGCTACGTTGCCAATTGTTTAGTGTGCCAACAGTACAAGACTTCGACATTGGCGCCGGGAGGACTCTTGCAGCCATTACCCATTCCAGAGATGATTTGGGAGGATCTCTCCATGGACTTCATCGAGTCTCTTCCAAAATCGGAGGGTGCAGACACCATCTTGGTGGTGATGGACCGGTTGAGCAAATACGCCCATTTCATTAGCCTCAAACACCCATTCACGGCTCCAACAGTAGCTGCTGCGTTCATCCGCGACGTGGTCCGTCTTCATGGGGTGCCTAAGTCGATTGTCTCCGACCCCGAAAAGGTGTTCATGAGCCATTTTTGGAGGGAGTTATTCAAATTATAGGGGACTGCCTTAAAGCATAGCACGGCGTACCACCCGCAAACCGACGGGCAAACGGAGGTCGTAAATCGATGCTTGGAGACGTACTTGCATTGCTTCGCCACAGACAAGCCCAAGCAGTGGGCTCGCTGGTTGGCCGGGACTGAGTATTGTTACAACTCCGCTTACCACACGTCCATTGGTACCACTCCTTTCCGTGTGGTTTACGGGCATGATCCTCCTTCCCTACTTCGCTACTTGCCGGGGTCTACAGCTAGCTCGGCTGTTGAGTTGCAGTTGAAGGATCGAGATGATATGTTGGCCGAGTTGAAGCGTCATTTGGAGCGCGCATAGCAGCAGATGAAGGCGCGCACCGATGGCCATCGACGCGACGTCCATTTTGAGGTCGGCGATATGGTGTTTCTTAAGCTTCGTCCCTATCGACGACGCACGTTGGCGTCCCGCCCATTTGAGAAGCTGGCCCTGCGCTACTATGGCCCCTACCGTATTCTGACCCGCATTGGTGCCGTGGCCTATAAGCTGCACCTTCCTGATCAGGCCGCCATCCATCCGGTTTTCCATGTCTTGCAGCTGAAGCCGGCCCTGCTCCTTTCGGTGCCAGCTTCTCCACTTCCTCCACAGTTGGCTGATGACTTGGAGCTCCGGGTGGAACCGGATGAAGTTCTCGGGTTGCGCCAGGGCCCTGCTGTTGGAGGCACACATCTTGAGGTATTGATTAAATGGAAGGGGCTGCCCTTGTTCGAGGCCACTTGGGAGCCCTACACAGTGGTGCAACAACAATTCCCTTCCTTTCACCTTGAGGACAAGGTGACTTTGTGGGCGGGGGTATTGATAAGCCCCCAATCAAGTTTACATATGTCAGGCATGCCAAGATTGTGCTAGGAGTGGGGTGTCGTGTCTGTGGGCAGTGGAGACATCAGGAATATGGGTTAAGGGTGTTTCCGTGCAGGGGCACTAGTGTCTTTTCCTTTTGGTTAATAAAAGAGGGGTCAGATGGGTGGTGTGGTTTTTACGTGGTTTTTGGGTGAGTGATTGTAAAGGGGAGAGAGTTGGACCTCTCGAACGTCCATGCGAGTTTGTAACGGTGCTTGGAAAAAATCAGTATCAATACAAGTGTTTTTCATTCTAATTCCTTCTTGATTTCTCGCTGTATGTATTGATTCTTGTTATTCCTAGCGTGTGCTTACCATGTACATCACATTAAGTTCTCCTTGTGACCTAAGATCGTCAAACTCTTTCACATGATCATCATTATAAAGCTTATTAAAGTAACTCTTCCACTTTTTTTTAATGTCTTTTATCTTTTGTTTTGTCAGAACTTGAGTTATATATTGGGTACAAAAAAACAAACAAGGTATATAGACGATGGCTCTTGGTTATACTGGGTACAAAAAAAACGAATGAGGCATATAGACTCGACAGTCAAGTGCTTCTTTTCGTCCTCTTTAATTTTATTGTGTTGTAATATAATTTGGCTTCTAGTGGGTTAAAAGATCATATAATATTTCCTGAACCTGAAAGAGTGGAATACTTAGAGTGCCGGAACGATTTGACAAGCTTACCATTTCGTTATGATAAAACGATCTTAGTTGGATTGAATGCATTCTTGATCATTTGATCTTCCTGACCTCAATTTGTGGTTAAAAACGATTTCTCTTGAGCTTTTATTTTAAGCGAACGAGATTTTGACAGCAAGGGGTTGGGAAAGGTTTTTCTTTACCAAAAAAGTTGCTGATAATTTTTCTTCTTAGACAATTTCATAATTTTCTGCTGATCCCGTAATATCTGTTATTTTATTGATTTTTGAGATGCTCGTCATAGTACATATATCCTTTTTTTTTTATTATTAAATTTTTTATCTTCTTTTAACCTAATAGGGGTTTTGGTTTACTGATTCTATGCCTATTTGACTTGGCACTTCCCCAGTTTAGAACTAAGCATTTTGGTTTTCCCTTTGGGGGTAACAGGGCCCAAGAAAGAAGATACTTCTAGCGTTGGAATCAAGAACTTGAGATTTGGAATATGCAAGTCGCACTTCTGTGGTTTGTGTTTTGATTAGTATGAGCCTGTACTTGGCTTTTTTCTTCCCATTTCTTTTTCACTTTTTGGCTGTATTGATCGCATTGGCTCTAACAACACAATTCATGTCAAACCACAACGGTCAGTGTTAAATTGTTAGTTTGGAATGGTTAGAAAATTTTAAAGTTTTGGCAATTTGTTGTGTTGTTCTGTTGTGCTTTCTACCTCCATATATCCGTTTATTTATTTACAGAATATGAATGTCACTGGAAAACCAACGAAATGGAGGGATTGCTTAGTACATACACTCAAAACTCAAACTATGATTCTGCTTTAATGTTTTTTTCTTGCAAAGAATTTAAATAAAAAAAAAATTTTGCCAATAATTCTCTCTTGAAGAATTTAAAGCAAAACTCAAATCATGATTCAAATACACTTTTTAAACGGGCTCGTAATGTGTCACAACTATTATCGGAATATCTGAATTTTGCATGCTTGAAACAGCCAGGCTGAACGAGAATTCATTGTTCATGTTAGAACTTAGAAAAACTAGTGGCTCGTTTGGAATGTATGTTCAAATTATAATTTTTTATTCTAAAGTTTGAAATTTAAATTTTTTGTGAGAGAAAAACATTGTAGTGGAATTAATTATTTTATTTAAGTTTTGAGTGTATAAAACAAATTATACCCAATTTAATACCATCAGACTTGTAATTCTGCTGGTTAAATCCAGTCGTTTTTTTCTTTTCTATTTAACAAAATGTTTAGCCTCAATACAGTCCTAAAGTTAGCACCTCTCTTAATTTATGGAAAAGATAATTATCAAAATTGTGAGCTGAAAATGTTAATCGTGATTTTAAGCCTGAAATGTTACACAAATACATTTCAAGATCTCTTGCCTCTTCTTATCCGACGGCGTTTCTCCAAATCAAACATTGAACAGGCTAATGAGGCCATCTAAGATGCTTTATTTATTTTGGTCTTCCATGCCAAGTACTTTTTATTTTCTTGCTTGTGTCTTCTCCACTCTCTTAACGCTGCCAGAAGAACATGCATCGAAACTGGCAGAAAGAAAGGCTGCACATACAGAAGCATAATACATATAAAGAATACTCATTTGCTTGTTAACTAGCCTAGTACCAAATACTGAACTCCAAATTTGTAGTGTCGGACAAGTTTTTAAGCAACTAACCGAATAGACGGCGAAACAGTGCTCAAACGAGTAATAGCTGACAGACATAATTGATGGGTGATAAAACGCATCCTCTGCCAGAGATCTTGCTTGCCGGGAAGCAACTGAAAAGGAAACAAAGAAACTATTTCTCAGCTCGAAATCAACAGAGAAAGACATACCTTTTAATCGATGCCACTTGTAAGTTGTAAAGCCGCGAGTACTAGAAAGATTTAAGATTGTAAAATACGTACCAGCAGAAGCATCATAAACTCCAAGTGAGGCATTAACTTGAGCCAGTTTTGCTACCTCCAGAGAATAATGTACCTGCTCAAGTAGATGACATCATGACAGTAAAACTAAAACTGCTAATTTTCTTCATAGATACAGAATGTTTGCATTTATCTTTTTGTGTCGTTAACTTTTTAAGTTTAGTAATGTAACGAGGACAAGCTCATCCATAAGTTAAAAAATGTAATGAAAGAAAACCGCTTGAGTGAAGAGTCCATCTGGACAAGTCACCTGCTTTCCAATCTCATCCATGATAATCATCCTAGGTAGTGATTGAACCTGCAAAAAGAAATTGTTACTCTTTCACCATAAAATCTGACCTAATAAAACAATTAGGTTGATGAGTAAGTGAAGCTTAAAACAGAGAACGAGCGCGGTCATACCAGTCTGGAAAGGGATCCAAGGGTGGTAGCACATGAATGAAGATTAAAACATGTGTGCTGCCGTGACAACACATCTAATTCCCTGCAGAATGATCAGAAATAATAACCTCGTGCTGGGCAGTTAAGATGCAATTAAATGAAGCTAAGAAAAAAAGACGCCGAGGCACTCGAGCATCATGAGGGTTATAGATAAGATACAGGAGTTCAAAGCATAAAACACACCAATAAAATCCACTAACTGTTATTTCTACATAAATTACTGGAATTTAACTGGGCGAAACCAGATAAATAGATTTACAACACGCATCTACAAGTTTAATAAACCATGTCAAGACATTACATTCACAGGTTTTAACTTAATACTCTGTATTGCTCCAACAATCTCACATAACAAATATGGGTGCCATTTTCAAAAGCATGCAATCAAGGTCTTCAGCTAATAATGTATTATTGAACGTAATAGGATAATTTTACTTACCAGAGAGTGAAGCCTCTGTCACTAGCTAAAAGCCTGGATGTGCCAGAAGAGCCAACAAAAAGATTATCAGATTTGAGACCAAAAAGTTGCCGCAATTGCCCCATGGAAACTTCAAAAACTTTCTGAAGATCCTGTTTCAGAATGTGTATAGAACATGGGGATTCTAGTCATTGCAAGTTCAAAAACATCATATATTCATGAGTAAGAGCTTTGTTTCTCTTTTAGCAGAAAATTAATTGATCTGAAGATCGACTATATATGTTTCTAGCTTATCTATGTGTTAGAATCCAGTAAAAAGATCAAGAGATGAACCAGAGAACAGAACATGCCAGAGTAACCAGAATAATTTATGCTAATGCTAGAAGTAGTTAAGTTCTAATTTGCATAGAGAGGCATTAACCTGATATGATATTTTATGTCTGACAGGTTGCTTACTATCTGGAGTGTCCCCAGGATCTTCTGGGTTCCATACAATAACACCTCCCCACATCTTCAATACATGACATTTAGAACTAATAAAATTAGAAGATTTTACAAGTAAAATAATCAACTGGCACCTAATCTATTAGAGCATGAAGGCATGTTAACTAACCGGAGAGATGAATCCATTAGTCTTAGAAACTTCTCCATTGGGAAGCTGTAGGAGAAGAGGCCACTCGTCCGCTGATGGTACATAGCTGGCAACAAATACAGTGGAGGAAAAAGAGACCATTGGCATTTTGAGGTGTAAACATAAATGTCTCTCAAATTAAAACCGGATTTGGCAAGACTATATAAAAATATATAAATAAGTAGTGAACAAATTAACAAAGAGATGACGGGATATGAACACAGGTATCTGGGAGCATAACACATTCGATTTTAAACACTCATTTAATAGGAAATAGATAAAATAGTTCTCTCTATGGAGAGCGTTAAAAAATTATAATAGGAAAATATTATACAACACAGGACGTTCACTATATCATGATGTTACATTAGTCGATCATATAGTTGGTAAATTAATACGCATCACATTTCCATTCGACCAAAAACATAACTACTACTAGGAATTGATAGAAGTTTAAAATTTAAAGAATGATTAGAGTTAAAGAATATACACCACAAAGTGCAATATCTTTGATCTCCCGCCAGCTGCAACGGAAGTATCCAAGTGCCACTCATTTGAATTCACCTGTAAAAATTAATTAGTTAAGTTGAAAAATAATTCTAAAATACCTATGGAAAAGTATCCCAGATACACACGGAAATGTGTGTGAGTGAGTTTCAATAGACAATATGAAACAAGAGTCGTTCAGAGCTTCACCAACCCATCCTAGAATCTAATGGAAAAGGAAAGTAAATCTGTCTCCCTGCATAATTGCCAAACCATGAGAACTAACAAGCTTAGCTTACAAAGAAAGGAAGATCCTTGGTATTAAAGATGTAGCTGCTCCACTTATGATCCCAGTAAGAAAATGAGAACTTTGGTGTATGGTATAAAACCTGACAACAGAAAAAAATGACACAAAAAAATGAAAGGGTAACTGTCAATCCATGGGGTAAGTTTTAAGAAAAATCAATAGAAAGAACTCAGTTTTAAAAAGGGATGATTTATTACTTGACTTTCCACGCTTATGTTTGCTACAGGTCTTAATGCCTCAATTACTGGGGCCAAAACAGTCTCTTCTATTTTCTGAAATTCCCTGCAGGTACAAGGAAAGGCATTAAGGGTGGCACTTTGGGATACAAGTATTTAAAGATAACATCAATTATCAACGTTATTTACTAGGTACCGACTACCCAACCACGCATATGGGATAACACGTCCAATAACTAATCAGCCCTCTTGAGAGAAGTTTTTACTTTTTACATATTCATGAAAAGCTAAAACACTACTATAATAGATAAATAAGCAAGACAAACCAAGCCCTTTACCTGGCTATGTCATTAACAACCTGTTTTTAATCAGACTTATAATGTGTCCAACAAACTCTACTAGAAATTGCTTATACAAAGTGGAGATTTCCATGAATTCTGCAGCGAGCTTATGCAACATAACTTGCAATGAGTAACTGCTGCAAATAAACTACACTGTTTCTAGTTCAATTTGATGTTCCATGTTGAAAATTTAGCTCCTTTCAAAGATATCATATATCAACTTCCCAAAAAATCAAATGTCTGAGACATAAATCAATGCAAGACCTTATACATCAGAATTGAAGAACCTAAAGAATTAAGATAAATAGGGAAAAAAAATACAGAGCTAAATTACCAATCATAAACTCCATCATTTGGATTTGCATTTAGCAAATTGAAGGAAAGCACGATCCTACCATCAGCACCAACAGGCATAAACTCTCCATGAATCAATCCTTCTTCCTTCCCGCCATTGACAAACACCTTAACAAAAATCTCCGCCGCTCTCGACAATGCCGCCGCCTCCGAAACCCTACCGGAGATCCAAGCGTGACGATACTTCCCGACGACGGCCCTTACATCCTCGTCCCTATTCACCACCACCACGCTGTACACCTTCCTCTCACCGGCGGGACCTCCCAACGTAGACTCCAACAGCTCATCAACAGCCTCATCGTCGCTATCGAAATCGACGGCGCAGATGGCGTCGGAGTCCACGGAGACGGAGACTGTGTAGCTGGCGCTGCAAGCGCCGCATTGCGGCGTTTGGGAGGTCAAATCGGAAATGGCGAATTGTAGATCATCTGAGCTGATGGATGGTTTGGAGTTGAAGCCGATAAGTATTGCTTGGAAGTGACAGGGGAAGAGTAATGGAGCGGAATCGAGCTGAGCTGAGAAGTGGTCGATTTCGCGGAAGGGGAGAGGTGCGCGGTAGATTTCGACTGATTTCCATAGGAAGGGGAAACCTGCATGGGTAATCGAGAACAAGTGAGAAATGAAAAGCGTTCATTGAGAAAGATGAGAGAGAGAGAGAGAGTGATTGGACCTAGGAGGAAGGAGAGGAGAACTGAGAGAGTTAGGATTAGGCGCTTGAGGCCTGGTTTTGTTTTTCGCATGGATTTGGGATCGAATTCCGATACTGGCTCTTCCGGCCGAGATGTTTCGGCGATTGCCGGTTCGGAGACTTCCGCCATTGCTGAACTCACTGCAAGCTTTGTTGTGCTTTTAATTGGGGGTATTGTTTCTCGGAAAATTACATCGTTAAAGCTAAAATATCTGTTTTACTGACATGAAGCCGTCTTAGCTCAGCTGGTAGAGCGCATGGCTTTTAACCATGTGGTCGTGGGTTCGATTCCCACAGACGGCGTTCAGTACTTTCAATTGAGTTATTGACATAATTTTTTAGATAAAATCATTTTGATTATTACCGCAAAACATAATGGGTGTGTTTGGAACTCATTTTAAAATGATTTTATTTTTTGTATAAAAATAAAAACGAAAACGTTTTCATTTTCATTTTGGAATCATTTCTAAAAATGCATTTGGTAGTTTTATTCTGAGATTATTTTCAGTTAAAAAAAATTAAAATTGTTGTTTGGTGGTTTAATTTTTAAAAACATGTAATAATATTTTTAAATAATAATATATTAAATAAAGATTATACATGAAAACTACAGAGGAAATGGGAAGTAATCGTTTTCAGTTTTTGTGACCTTTTGAGAATAAGTACAAAAACTTTTCCATTTTTGTTTTTAGGAAATGCGGTGCCAAACGCATTTCTGAGAGCATTTTCATTTTTTTGTTCTTAGAAAACGTGAAAAATGTTTTTAGAAATGATTCCAAACAGGCACAGTATCTTGTTTTTTTTATAATATTAAAACGGTATTTGACGTTTTTGAAAATATCTTTTTTATACTTTAAAATTAATTTTTGAGATATATAATGTTTAAACTACTCTTTTATTATTAAAATAAAAATTAGTATTTCTTAATTTAAAAATAATAAAATAAAAAATTCATGATTTTTTTCCCTAAATCTATCAAATTTGGACTTATTCAATAAAATGGTATTAAAGTTATTTTACATCTTAAAAATCAACTTCAGGTATTAAGAAGATGTTTTTAAAAACCTCAAAATACTACTTTAATATTATTAAAAGCACGAGATATTAAAAATATATTTTACTATAACCCGTGGTACCAAAATAATTTTATCTATTTTTTTTTTAATGTGCATAAGCTACAGTTAAATTTTAGCTTCGCCAAGATATTGACATTGACGGGAATTTTTTAAAATTTAAGTTAAATAATCACATTCATGACTCAATTTTTTCTTTTAAAAAAAATAGTTATTTGATTCCCAATAAGTTTTAACATTAATGTAATTATTTTGTAAAAGGCTCTTTATGTTTGTTGGATTGTTGGATTTTATTATGTCGTTTTCCTTCCCTTTGAAGTTGGGTGTCGCCATTTTTTCAAATACCTTTGTTCCATCTCGTGGCGTTTTTTAAAGTTATTGTCGATCTTCCAATTTTTGTAGTTACTTACAACTTGTTCTGGTTTGTTGTTTCTTATCGGTTTCAGTTTTCAAGTGTTGGCCGTCTTTCTCTTACTTGCCGTTTTTTAATATTATTATCGTTTCAAAGGTTATGTCTTTTTTTAGTATTATTGCCATTCAAAGTTTACAGTCTCATTCATTTCAATGATTCAAGTTTTGTTACAGTAAAAAAATTTAAGAAACAGTTACATCTAATTTTTTTATTATAGTAAAAAGCTCTCACATAAAGTCACATTTCAACTCGAATTAACGAACTAAACGGACCCTACATCATTTTTTCTTTGATTAATTCCACATACCGTCTCTCAAGTTTATTCTCAATCTCACTTCGGTCCTTAATTTTTAAAATCTCACACAGATGGTCCTTAAAGTTTTACTGTGTTTTAGTTTCAGTCATTCTGTTAATTGAGTATTAAATATTTGACAGAATCTATGTCAATTAAAAACAATTAAATTTTAGCAACTATGAGTGAGGATTAAATTTTGTTTTTATATTGTTTTAGTCCCTAAACTTTAGTTGTTTCTAATTTTGATTTTTAATTTTCACATAATCCGTTAAATATTTAATACCTAGCAAATAAAGAGACAGAAACTGAAATAAAACAAAATCTCTGGGACAATTTGTAAGACGTTTTAAAAGTTACGAACTAAAATGGGATTAAGAGTAAATTTGAGAGACCATTTGTGAGATTAACCCATTTTCTTTTATTTAACGGCTATTAGTACATCGTTTTTTCTTTCAGATTTTAAAAGGATAGTAGATGTCTTTCAAGTTCATGTCGTTTATTATCTGTTGTCGTTTCATTGTCCTCGTCACATGTCAGCATTATGTCGTTTCAAACTTTTTTTTGGGTGTTGTCGCTTTTGAAGGGATTGCCATTTTTCATGCACTTCTTCAACCTTATGGTGAGGACTGTGGCCATTTTCATGTTGACGTTATTTCTCCTTAGTCGATTTTATTGTGTCTACATTTCACAAAGCCGTCTTAGCTCAGCCGGTAGAGCGCATGGCTTTTAACCATGTGGTCGTGGGTTCGATTCCCACAGACGGCGTGCTTTGTTTTAGTTTCAGAAATTTGCCCTTCCTTTGGTTTGAAGAAAATTTTGTACAAGAAAGTCTCTGAAATTTTTCCAGAATATAAATATTGTAAATATTGATTTTTCAAACAATGTGGAAAACGACAACACCCTCTTTCAGAAAGGGAAAAAAAAAAAAAGGATAGAAAGAAGCTAACGACCACACAATTGCAATTATGTAACGAAGTGCATTTGATGATTTGATCAGTATTGATGGTTGGATTTCAATCACTAGAGTTACACCAGATGCAAGGAAAGTGAAGTTCATATTTTTGTTTTCGCCAATTGCTCAGCCGTTTTGCTTGCTTCCACTTCTGTTTTTAGTATCCTATCAGCTTGGCTTCCAGAGAACTTGTTCCTGAAAAACTCCACATCTTCATCTCTCTGAACAAAGAAAGAGTAAAGAGGTAATAAGGTCTGAGTACCTTATGAAAACCGAATCTAGTGACCGAGATAAAGAGGGAAAGAAAAAGAAAATGAGCGGCAAGCGCAAGGAGTGTGCATACCAGTTCCTTAAATAAAGGTTCTGGTGTCCCAATCTTATGGCCAACAGGTATAAGTTCCCAAGGTTTTCTTGCCCTCTCGAGATTATCTCCATTTTCATCGTTAAGCGAAAGTCGTTTTTCATGAGGAATGGCAAGCTGCTTTAGGACCTAAGTTGAGGATAAAAAGGAGAACATTAAGACAGATTGTTATTACATTAGGCTAAAACTTGTGAGTGATCCTCATTTCTTGAGAATGTGCCTAAGTTCACGGATATATTAGCTATAGGATACATGATCTGGATCGACCATTTCTTTTGCACCACGTAATCCTTCCTAGCCGGGTGGGAGAAGAATACCGCACCGGAGCTAGTACAAATTTTGAAAGCATAGCAAAAATGCGTTCCTCGAATTCTTAATTGGATGATAGTCTGTAAATAAATAATGCAATACCTTGAGAGAAAACGAAGGCATAAATGGCTCTAACAAGCAAGAGAGAAGATAGACTAGCCCCGCAGAAGTCCTCACAACGAGATTGCAGGAATGTTTGTCTTGCTTGTAAAGCTTCCAGAATTGGCTCTCCTACAAATTACAGTAAACATAAACAGTTGCAGTTTGTCTAGAATAGGCAATATTTTTCTTGTGAGTTGTGAACAAGATTTCGTGGACTTACTTGCAGATATGCATTCCCTTCACTGGAGATGCTCATTCCAATTTTCAGTGCTTGCTTTAGTTTTACCTAAACCAAATTAAATGTAGAAAGTCGCCCTTCTCGGTAAAAGAAGTATGGAGTAGTTAAGGAGAAAAAGCTGTAAAGAAGGAAGTGAGATATACACAAAATGGATTAGTTAATTAGTTGAATTATAGTTTCCATTTAGTCACCTTTTCCATTGCTTCCATGTATTGGTCCACATATTTACCAATTGTTTCTGCTAATGTCTTTGTCAATAAATGTGATTCAGCGCCGGCCGAATCAGGAATGATGGATCCATATCCTGATCCTGCAGCAGTTCATAACCATGGAAGGGAATAATAACTATGGAGATATCCAAAAGCAATAATGAAAGCTGTATTGACTTCTTCAAACAGCTAACTCACCTTGAGGTTTGGCAATAAAGCTCAAAACTCGGTTGATGAAGTTTCCCAAATTATTAAGCAACTCAGTATTTAGTTTTGCTTGCAAATCAGCCCAGGTAAACAATGTATCTGAGACCTAACAATTTACCAAAAAAGAGAAATAAAACGTTACTGTTGCGTGTTTAGAGCTTAATTATCCCCCTGATATAGAGAAATACAGAGAGTTTGAGAGGTGCGAGGTGTGTATTCTCTTGTAATTTCTTCTTCATCGCAGTGAAATTCATTAGTGGCAGAAACGTAGCACTCACATTGACGATGAACTACTATGAATCTTATGTGTATTTTCTCGTCCGTTTATATATATATATATATATATATATTAGTGCTCTCATCAGTAATGAACAAAGGCGCTTAATCCATAAAAATTAGAGACTGCAAGTAGAATGCAATTGGTGAAGCAGAGGAGGTGCAGCAAGTAACATACTTCTGGTCTGTTAGTTAGCAAGTAATACCGCCACACTTCCGATGGAATGTTCGAATCTCTTGCATCGTTACCAAAGACTCCTATCCCCTTACTCTTGGAGAACTTCCCTGCACCATGAGAAAATTTTCGAAAAATAAAAACAAAAATGCTTAACAAGCGAAGTGCTAAAGCATTAAATTCCCATGAACATGGACCTGCTTCATAGTTCAGATACTCAGTAACACTAATGCTCTTCATTAATGTCCAGTTTTCTCCAGTCCCAATAAGTGAAGATGGAAACATAACCTGCCAAATTACAATCACTAAATGTCAAAATATCATTGCTGCACTGAAGTAATTGCTGTTATATATAACAGCCTAAAAAAGAAATTTCTTTTCATTTCACGAATATAATTTCAGACACACTCACAGTGTGGAATGGCACATTATCTTTGCCCATGAACTGGTACAACTCCACATTTTCAGGGTTCTTCCACCACTTCTCCCAATCAGATGTGTAACATGAAGTGATTGAGATATAACCAATAGGCGCATCAAACCACACATAGAAAACCTAAACAGTATGATATGGCAAGAAAATCCTCAATATATTCTTATCACTTTAAAGGGTGAACAGATAAACAATGAAAAACATGAAAACTTCTAAAAGAAGAGATTAGATTTGAAAATTGTTAAGTGCATAGATAAAATGCAAAGTTCCAATAATAGTAACCTTATCCTTAAATTTGTCATGTGGAACAGGAACACCCCACTTAAGGTCCCTAGTTATACAGCGAGGCTTTAATCCTTCTTTAAGCCAAGCATAAGTAGCTTGAATGGAGTTTTGGCTCCAAGATCCTGCACCTGACATGTTATTGATGTATTCTTCCAATTTTTCCTTCAACAATGGAAGCTCTAGAAATAAGTGATCCGTCTCACGAATTTGTGGTGTTGTTTGACATACCTGTTTTTCACAATTTGATACAACTAAATTTTCACCAAGACAATGAAAAATTTAGAAAAACTGGAATTGCAACTTGGAGAAAATACATACTTTGCATTTGGGGTCTTTGAGTTCAGTTGGATTCAATAGCTTTCCACACTTCTCACATTGGTCTCCACGTGCAGAGTCATAGTTGCAATCTAGCATAGGGCAGGTGCCTTCGACTAGCCTATCAGCCAAGAACCGGTTGCATTTTTCGCAATAAAGCTGAATGGATATTGGAATTCAAAATCATTGAAGATAAACATAGTGCTGTAATATTTGCTGTGAAGTGAATTAATCTGCATAGAAAGGATGCAATAGTTATTATTTTATGCATAGAAAATGAAGCATGATTTACCTGCTGCATAGTATTTTGAGAAAGCCAATTGTTCTCCATCAGTTTCTTGAAAATTGATTGGCATATTTCAGTTTGTTGAGGAGTTGAGGTGCGTCCAAATTCATCAAAACTTATGTTGAACCAATCGTAGACCTGCTTATGAATTGCGTGATATCTACAGAAACGGAAACAACAATTTGAGTAACAATTACAAAACCAATGAGATTAAAATAAAATAATAATAATAATAAAAAAGTTGAAAGTACTCAAAAATTTAATTTTCTTCCCCATAATTTATAATTAGTGAAACAATAATTGCTCAATGAATCGGTTAGCTTAGAAAGCAACTATATAAAACTTTAGCTCTTTTGCCCCCTTAACTTTTAGTGAATTAGCGAGTTGTCGCATGAACTTTTAGCTTTGATAAGTTATTCCTAAATTTAATAGAATGTTGCAGAGTACCCAAATCAATGGTGTATGTTAAAATTTGGACAGAAATGTCCTCATACATGTCATCAAAGCTCATCTGAAGGACAAAGACAGGAATTTCAGGTGACAACAGAACACGTCGTGTCACATATACGATGGCTTTTTCCTTCCAAATTTTAACGGGGAATTCTGCTATACATTATTAAATTAAGGAGCAATTTACTTAAAATTGAAAACTTTATCAAGTACTTTTCCAATTCACTAAAAATTTAGGGGCAAAAGCGCAGAAGAAATCCTAATATTAATGACAAAGCTCTAACCATAAGTCTATAAACAACTTCAATTATCAAAAAAAAAAAAAAAAAAAAGGAACTTACTTGTCACAAATCTGCTGAGGAGTAGAATTCTCCTCCATGGCCTTTGTCTCTGTGGCAGTGCCATACTCATCAGTCCCACATATGTAAATCACGTTGTAGCCACGAAGACGACAATATCGAGCAAACACGTCTGCACTTAGAACACCTGCCACGGCCAAAAACAAAAAACACAACATTCTTATTCACAAATAACTTCCACAAAGCTTTAAAACATAATACAAAAAGCAAATCCACACACACCCTTTAAAAACTCTAGCTGGAAGAGAAAACCCATATCTTGAATTCTCGAGATTTAACCATTAAAAACCAAAAACAAACAAAAAAAAAAGAAAAAAGAATTACAGCCAATGATATTGCCCAGATGAGGAACGTTGTTGACATAAGGCAAGGCGCTTGTGATGAGTATGTTTCTTTTTCCGGGTATAGGTGTTTTGGGATTTTTATCTCCTTCTCTGCCATCTGATTGATCTGCCATGTAAATTATGAGCTTACAATTGAGCTTTGGTAATTAAAATAATAATAATAATGGAGAGTTTTTTCCGAGTATGGTGCTTTGAGTTTAAACCAATATAGAATTAGAATAGAATTTGTTGCCTAAAGTTGGATGGAAAGTGTTAGGTAAGTTACTCACATTGATTTTAAGAAAGTTAGAGGTTGTTCGGCCGAGTGAAAAACTCAAAAAAAGATGATTCGAGTTACAATTTTATTTAAATTTATGTTCTTTTAAATTTGAATTCGAATTTAAACTCGAGTTTGGGATTAAAACTCAAGTTCAATGGGCTGTTCGGCTGAGTGAAAAACTCAAAAAAAGACAACTTGAGTTACAATTTTATTTGAGTTTATGTTCTTTTAAGTTTGAACTTGAGTTTGAGATTAAAACTCGAGTTTGAGACTAAAACTTGAGTTCAAGTTTCCTTTTTAACTCGAGTTCAGAAACTTGAACTCAAATTAATGAACAATATTTTTTTATTCTTAAAAATACTATAACTTTTTCGTTTTAATTCTGATTGAGATGATTTTTTTTATGTGTTGACAACGAAAACACGAATAAAACTACACTCATATATCCTATTAAAATTTTCCATCAGCATTGAGTTTTTATTAAAATACTATCTAAATACAAATTCAAGTTTTGACTCACTCAAACACAATTTCAAAAAGATTCTTATCTCAAATCATAACATACAACCAAACAAAAACTCAAGTTACAACTTCAACTCAAGTTATAACTCAAATTTAATTTAAGAATTATACTCAAGTTAAACTTTAAAAGAACAAGCCCAATTTAGTGATGTTTGATTTATGAATTTAAAATTATTTTTAATTTATGTGTATTTTTTATATAAAAAAATATTATAACGAATCACGAATTGTAAATTAGAGCACGAATCTACCGATCAAACGATAATAATCTTTCCAAACAGAAAGAATAATTACATAGAATCTTCTGCTTAGTTTACACGCGCCTTAACGGTGAAGCACCGCAGAATTTCTGCAAAGTATAACAACGTCACTTTCATGGATAAACTAACAACGTCACTTTCATATTAACGTGAATCTCATTCGCTGTGCAAAAGCAAAACTTCGGAGTTTGGACTTCCAATTAACAAGACTTTGGTCTCAATTGGAAATGTCGTTTGTTTTAAAAGGTCTGTCGTATAAGATACTGTGTTTTGCTGTCGATTAATGCTAATTAAATCTGATGAAAGTTCATGTCGTTTGTGATAAAAAAAATTTGTTGCTAAATGACTGATCGCCTATTTCTAAAGGTTGTTTGTAAAAATGGCATTTCGTTTACTCTAATATTACTTAGCTTTCTTAGTTCCTTTCAAGTTTTTAACATGAAAAATGAAATTTCGTTCGTCGGCTAGAGAGGGATAGTTTGCTGTCGTTTAATTAATGAGCTACACTGTCGTTTTCTTCTTTTTTTTTTTTTTTGCTACTTCACCTGCAAAAGCGACATGTCATTGTCGATTATGCTCATTATGTTTTTACCACGGAGATTCAACATGTCGTTTCTATTTTAAAAGTTTTTTTCCCTTAGCTCATAAAATGATTTGTCGTTTGTCAGTAGTTGTCGTTTTTATTCTAATGTCGTTTGCTAAGAACACGATATGTCCTTCGATATTCAGATGTTTTGTCACGTTGAAAGCTATATGCTGCTTGTTTTCCTTTTCGTCGTGTCTAAGTGTTACTGAGAAGAACCCCCCAAACCATGATTCAAATAATGATATGAATTTCTTTACCAAACGTCAAAGTTTTTATGGTTAGCTCAAGAAACGATGTCCTTTTTTTGCTATTTTGATGTTTATGATTTTGACGTCGTCTGCAATAAAAACGATATATCGTTCAGTTTCTTGAAGTGTATGTCTCATGCATTAAATGATGCGTCATTTTTTCTTTTGTCTTATGCATTAAATGATGCGTCGTGTATTATTTTGTTGTCTTTCTCTTTTACGAGGGAAAGTATGTCGTTGGTCTTTCAAAAGTTTTCGAACTTGTTCGGTTGTATTTTTTAATTGTGGTGATTTGAGTGTAGATCTTAAGTTGAATTTGAGTTATAATTTGAGTCGAAGTTGTAACCTGAGTTTGTGTTTGAATGTACACATTTGAGTTATGATTTGAATTGAGAATCTATTTAAGTTTGTGTTTGAGTGGGTCAAAACTTAATTTGTATTTAAATAGTATTTTAATAAAAACTCAATGGTAATAAAAAATTTTAATAAGGTATATGGGTGGGATTTTATTCGTCTCTTCATTGTGAACGCATAGAAAAAAAAATCATCTCAATTAGAATTAAAACGAAAAAATTATGACGTTTTTAAAAATAGAAAAAATATTAGTCAGTTTAAGTTTAAAAACTTGAATCAAATGTGAAACTTGAACTCAGATTTTAATCATAAACTCAAATTCAAACTCAAATTTTATAAACAAACATAAATTTAAATAAAATTGTAACTTGAATTTAAATTTTTTTTCAACTCTACTAAAAAAGAATAAGCCCTTCGTCCTTCGTCTTTAGCGCAGAAAATAACATGCCGTTTGTTACTATTCTGTCGTTTACTACCTCTCAAAGTTAAAGGTTAGGAAACGTGTCGCCTTTTGTACAACCATGTCGCTTGTACGGTTATACCTACAAGTTACATGTCGTTTAGGTTGAACAAACGACATTGAAGTTTGATGTCATTTAATGTCGTTTCTTTGATAAATCCACGTGTATTATATTGCTGAGAAAATATTTATGTCCTTCAGCCATAAACTAACTTTTAGTCTTCAGATGCAGATGCGGTTACTTCCATGTCCCACCTGAGATCTCTCCTCTTATCCTGTAAAGACAAACAATCTCTATTCAAGATCCATGCTCTTGTCATATTAACTGGCCTCTTAAGCCATGGAAACTCCAATGCCCTTCTTATAAAATCGTATGCACGCATTACTGGCGCAGTGTCAGCACGCCATGTGTTTGATAAATTGCCTCCAAGAGGAGTGGATGTGTGGAACGCCATGATCATTGCTTATTCTCGGGAAGAGTGCCCGCGCGAGGTTATGAAACTACATAGGCAGATGATCTCTGAGGGTATTAGGCCTGATAGCTCTAGTTTCAGTGTTGCTCTTAAGGCGTGTGCAAGTTTGTTGGATCTGAGAGCCGGTGAAGAAATTTGGTTCAAAGCGATAGAACATGGCTACGAGTACGACGCGTTTGTGGGATCGTCTGTTTTGAACTTGTATGCCAAGTGTGGGAAGATAGATGAAGCGAGGGCCGTGTTTGATAAGTTGCCGAGAAGAGATCTTGTTTGCTGGACATCGATGATAACAGGATTTGTGAAGAGCGGGGGGCCATTGGAAGCGGTTGATATGTATAGGAGAATGCAAAAGGAAGAACTGGAAGCTGATGGGGTTGTGATGTTGGGTTTGATGCAGGCTTGTGCAAGCCTCGGGGAGTTGAAAGTTGGACTTTCTATTCATGGGTGTTTGATTCGAAGAGATCATCCTATGGATGTCATGCTTCAAACTAGCCTAGTTGATATGTATTCTAAGACTGGGAAATTGGAGTATGCTTGCTGTGTATTTGACATAATGAGTCATAAGAATGTTGTTTCTTGGGGTGCTTTGATTGCTGGCCATGCTCAAAATGGTCTTGCAGGGAATGCTCTTGAATTGTTGGTAGAAATGCAAAACTGTGGTTTCAAACCCAATTTAGTATCTCTCTTGAGTGCTCTTCTAGCTTGTTCACAACTTGGGCTTCTGAAGTTGGGTAAGTCCATACATGGATATATTGCCAAAAGGCATGACATTGATCAAGTTTCAGGCACTGCGGTGATTGATATGTACTCAAAATGCGGATCTCTTTCTTGTGCACAGGCTCTGTTCGATAGGACAAAGACTAGAGACTTGATCTTTTGGAATGCCATGATTACCAGCTATGGAATTCATGGACAGGGAGAAGAAGCTTTATCACTCTTCCTCAAGATGAGAGAAGCAGGCTTAAAACCGGATCACACGACTTTTGCTTCTCTTCTGTCGGCCTTAAGCCACTCAGGTCTAGTAGAAGAGGGTCAGTATTGTTTTCGTCTCATGCATACCGAGTATAAGATCATAGCAGAGGAAAAACATTATCTTTGTATGGTTGATCTTTTAGCCCGTGCGGGCAAAGTTGAAGAGGCTTATGAACTAATAGGTTCCATGAATATTTTACCGGGACTTCCTGTTTGGGTCGCCCTCCTGGCGGGCTGCTATAATCATGGGGCATTGTTGATAGGAGAAATTGCTGTAAAGAAGATACTTGAGCTAAACCCGCGCGACTTGGGAGTTTATGCCTTGATCTCAAACTTCTGTTCCAAGGAAGGAAAGTGGAATGAAGTAGCTGGTCTGAAAAACGTTATGAAACAGATGGGAATCAAGAAAACACCCGGTTATAGTGCTGTGGAAGTGAATGAAAAGTTCCATTCTTTTCTTATGGAAGATAAAAGTCATCATCAATATGAAGCTATTCTGCGATTTTTAAAGAAGTTGGACCATGAGATGAGAATTATGGCATATGTTCCTGAGACTGAACTTGAATTGCATGGTGAGTGAAAAAAATGCATATCAGATCAAGATCTTGCTTTTGCGGGGAAAAAATACTGTTTATACATTACAATGTGGCATCTTAAGTTTCCAGGATTGTGTGCGGAGATAGATGATATGAAACCGCTCTCATTGCGAAATCGTGGCAAGACCATGAGATCCATAAGGCATTTTGCTTCCTCTTATAATGCTGAATCTCAGGCCCATGACAGATTTCTTAGAGAAAAGTAACAACTTATGCAATCGTGACAAGACCATGAAGATGTCTTTATCAGAAGTCTCCATGGCATTACTTTTTTTTTTTTTAATAAACCTCCTAAAGTGGCCACAGAGAGCCACCTCCTCAAGACTGAAACAACCTGAGGAACACGTTCCATAGACTTGATCAAGTCCTTGGAATTCAGAGTCCTTGGAATCCACACAAAAGACACACCTACCATAGACTTGATCAAGTCTAGACATCTACGAAAAACTGGTAAAACGTGTCAATCATCAACAAGTTTACTGTTCCTAAGGATGAACCCCCGCTCAGCAATCCCCACAAATCACAACAGGTCCAGACTGAGACGCTGCAATAACAATGGCCAACTCCACTGCTAAGAACTCGGCTTCTAAACTGTTGTTAGTGCGACATTATTTTGTTATAGAGTGGTATCAGCTTATAGGGAAAGCATGACTTCAGTAATTGGTTGTTTTGATGTTCAATACCATCCTCGCAGATTTCTTCCTCGCAATGCTAATAACTCGACATCGCCTGTCATTATCCGGTTAGCATTTTCTCACCTAACTTTCCCTTGGCTATTTTTTCTCCTTTCAATTGAATATATATTTTAGGATGTTTAATCTAGTGATGGATGACTGAGATTATAGGGTGGGTTTGGTATTGATTTTGGAAGAGAAAAGGCACTTATTGAGACAGTTAAAATCTAAAATGTTGTTTGCTAACATAGATTTTTGAATAGTTTTCTCCCACTCTGAAGCTAAAAGCAGAATCAGCGGCTGATTCTGATTTCAGCTTATGCAGGAATCGATTTTGAGAGTTTAATGAAATTTTTTATTCTCAATTTTACACCTAATGAAATCTCCAATTTGCCACCTCAGAAACACATTTTCAGATCTCGGTGGTTTATCTCCTCGTCTCTCCTCCTCTCTGTTATGTCTCTCCTCCTCCTCGCAGAAAAAATTTTGACAGTTCTGTCTTCTCTCTCCTCCTCTCTGTTAATCTGAACCCAACATCCTCTTCTTCTTCTTCAGCTCTCCAAATCATCGAAACATGCGCACTTTTTGTATGGCCTGCTTATTAAATTTGGATTGTAGGAACCTAAGGCATCGAATTATCCCATTAGTATCACTTTCAGGGTCCGTTAAGGCTCCATTCAATGATGTGAGTGTTGACGACCCGGATTTTGGTTCTATTCAGGGTAAGGATTAGTCCTAATCTTAAGTTCATTTATCATTAAAAAGCAAATAATTGAATCTTTGCTTCCAAATCTGAAGCCTTGGCAGAGGCTGGGGTTGTTTCCAGCAAATTAGCTCATAACTCCGCCAATAATGGGTTTAAAGGGGAAGGAGATGCCCGTTTTTCTCCTGACATGTAGAATACTTGCTTGATTTTCTTTTTCCTCTTTGCTAATAAATTTAGATTTGTTCTTACTGAACAAAGCATATATGATACTGCAGATTTATCTCTTGGCAAGATCAGATTTATCTCTCGGCAAGATCTAATAGACTGGAGAACCCAACTAGAGTATCAAATTTTGCCAGGATTAATTGAACAGGTACAAAAATTTGAGATGTCATTTTGTTATTGTTTCTGTTATTGTTTTTGTTCTTTTTATTTTGTTTTTAATTTTTAATTTTATTTTTATTTTAGTAGGATCTCTCATCCCCTTTCCTCTATATTTGATTACAATATAAATGAAAGAAAGTTTTTCTTGCCAAAAAAAAAAGTACTGCTATTTTTCTTTTCTTTTTGCACTATGATGAAGCTGATTATTTTTCAGAGTACCATATCTATTGATGGCTGAATTCCGTCAACAGAAATACGCCGGGTTACCTTCTGGTATCTCGTTGGGTTGCCGACTGAAAATTAACTATATATTTAAAATCAGGCTGTGAAGTGTTTGTTGTATTTTTTGGAGCGTGAGTGTAACGCTTGAATGAGAGGACACACGAGATTTATAGTGGTTCACTCTGTTAATGAAGAGCTACATCCACTTGTGTATGATATATTTCGTTTGGACTTTTACAATTTACATGCACGTATATTCTCTCTATGATTCAATACTTGGGAAGTCCATCCCTTTCGTGTATAGATTTCATAATTGTTCGTCACTTTCCTCACCCCTTGGGGTCGTCATCTTAGGAAATTCTGTAAAATTTTCTAAGTGTTCGCCTCTCCTCTTTGGAGGAGACGACGTCAACTTTTACCCCTTGGGGTCGTCGTTTTTAGAAAATTCCGTAAAATTTTCTAAGTGTTCGTCTCTCATCCTTGAAGGAGACGACGTTAACTTTTACGTCTTGGGGTCGTCGTCTTAGAAAATTCCGTAAAATTTTCTAAGTGTTCGCCTCTCCTCCTTGGAGGAGACGACGTTAACTTTTACCCCTTGGGGTCGTCGCCTTTAGAAAATTCCGTAAAATTTTCTTAGTGTTCGCCTCTGCTCCTTGGAGGAGACGACGTTAACTTTTACCCCTTGGGGTCATCATCTTAGAAAATTTCGTAAAATTTTCTAAGTGTTCGCCTCTCCTCTTTGGAGGAGACGGCGTTAACTTTTACCCCTTGGGATCGTCGTTTCAGAAAATTCCGTAAAATTTTTTAAGTGTTCGCCTCTCCTCCTTGGAGGAGACGGCGTTAACTTTTACCCCTTAGGGTCGTCGTCTTAGAAAATTCCGTAGATCCCCTACCGCCCCCAATGTCTGTTTAATATACCTTGATTTTTTAAGCAGACGTGTTATTAAAGGGTAAATTCATTTCTTATAATATTTCTATAAACTCATCAATTTATTTAAATTGCTATAAACTCATCAATTTATTTAAATTGCCCAAAGATGTAATTAAGATGCGTAAGAATTTCATACACTATTGGTAGTACAGCCTTAGCTGTTCTGCATTCCATGGATGTTGAATTCGTTTGCCGGCGAGACTTTTCAAAATGTAAGTGCCAGGACGCAACACTTCTATTATCCGGTAGAGTCCTTCCCAAATTGGGCTCAGAGGACCAGTATTTTTGGGTTTCGTACTTTGCGTCACCCTTTTCAATGGTAGGTCTCCTGGGATGAACCTTCTTTGTTTAACTTTCTTGTTGTAATACCGTGCTGCCCTTTGCTGATAGGCAACGAGGCGTAGTTGGGAGTCGAGTCTTTTTTCTTCTAACAGGTCGAGTTCTCCATTCATGGCTTATGCATTACCGTCGTCGTTGTAGGCAATAGTTCTTAGAGTCGGCGTCTCAATTTCGACGGGGAGTACCGTATCGACGCCATATGCCATAGAGAAGGGTGTTTCACCCGTGGTGGTTCGGCTTGTCGTTTTATATGCCCACAGGGCCTTTGGAAGTTCTTCTGCCCATCTCCCCTTTAAGTCGTCGAGCACCTTCTTTAAGGTATACTTCAATACTTTGTTGACAGCCTCGACTTAACCATTGGACTGTGGATGTATTGGCGTCGAGAAATCCTTTCAGATGCCTAGGCTGTCGCAGAACTTGCGTGTTGAGGCATTATCAAATTGTCTTCCATTGTCAGATACTATTGAGTGCGGGACCCCGAATCTGCATACGATGTTGTTCCGTATGAAGTTGGTGCAAGCTGCTTCTGTGGTCGTAGTTAGAGCCTTTGCCTTTGCCCATTTAGTGTAGTAGTCTACTACGACGATGGCGAACTTAAAGCCTCCCAGGACGAGGTATAAGGGTCCGATCAGGTCGACTCCCCATTTGGCAAAGGGCCATGGACTGAGAATGGGGGTTAGGTTTTCTGTGGGTGCTCTAGGAATTGTGGCATATCTTTGGCATTTATCGCAGCGTCGAGCGTATTGGAATGCGTCTTTTTTAAGCGTAGGCCAATAGTACCCCTGCATCAGAACCTTAAGAGCTAAAGACTGCCCCCCAATATGATTATTGCATACTCTTTCATGGATTTCCCGGAGGACCTTTTGGGCTTCGCTATCGTTTAGGTACCGCTACAAAGGCGTGGAATAGCCTCGTCTGTAAAGCAAACCGTCATACAATAGGTACCTGGTGGCTCTATACCTGATTCGTCGGGCCTCGTCTTTATCACTCGGCAGCTTTGCATTCGTTAGATATTGGATAAATGACGTCATCCAACCCTTGTCCGTCTGGATGGTCAAGGCCTTAATTTTTTCCTCAATGGTCGGCCGCTCTAGTTCTTCGATAGGAACGATCCCTAGTATGTCGGAATCCCATAATGATGCTAGCTTGGCCAAGGCGTCAATGTTGGTGTTTCAGCTCGTGGTATTTGAAGTATTTTATAATTTTTGAACTTGACGAGCTCTTCCTTTACCTTTTCTCAAGTACGCACCCATTTTTTCACCGCGCTCTTGGTATTCCTCATTTACTTGTCCAACGACCAGTTGAGAGTCGCTGAAGATGCCGAGCCTCTCGACTTTCAGGTGATTCGCCAATCGTAGTCCTGCAATTAGCGCCTCGTACTCGGCCTCATTATTCGACGCCTTGAATTTAAATCGTACCGCCGAAGTAATCTTGTGGCCTTCCGGGCTGATCAACAGAACGCCGGCTCCGGACCCGTTTTCGCTCGACGCTCCATCCACGTAGAGCCTCTACTTTGTCATCTCGACTTCTTCGCGTGTGGCGGGAGTCGGTCTATGAGAGAACTCGGCCAGGAAATCAGCCAGCGCCTGCCCCTTGATTGCTACTCTCGGTACATACTTAATGTCGAACTGGCTTAACTCCACCGACTATTTAAGAAGTCGACCAGAAGTTTCGGGCTTTTGCAACGCCTGTCTTAACGGGTGGTTTGTAAGAACCCGTATTATGTGGGATTGAAAGTAATCCGGAAGCTTCCTTGAGGCTACCGTCAAGGCGAGGGTCAGTTGTTCCATTTCAGTGTACCTTGACTCGGCGTCGATGAGTCTTTTACTTACATAGTAGACCGGCAGCTGGACCCTTTCTTCCTCTCTTATTAGCACGGAGCTTACGGCGTGTTGTGACACGGAGAGGTATAGGCTCAGCTCCTCATTAGTGATGGGTTTTGACAGGATCGGCGGTCTGCCTAGGTGCTCTTTTAATTTTTGGAAGGTCTCTTCACATTGTGGTGTCCATTCAAAATGCTTACTTCCTTTTAAAGCATCGAAAAAGGGAACGCACTTATCTGTTGCCTTTGATATGAATCTGTTCATAGCGGTGACACACCCTGTCAACCTTTGCACATCTTTTAGTTTGGTTGGAGACCTCATATCCTGCAAGGCTTTTATCTTTTCGGAATTAGCCTCTATCCCCCGGTTACTGACCATAAAACTAAGAAATTTTCTTGATCCAACTCCAACGGCGCATTTTAGGGGGTTTAGTTTCATGTGGTATATTCTCAACACGCCAAACATTTCTCCCAAATGGTCGACGTGCTGGGTGGCCCTGACACTTTTTACAAGCATATCATCGACGTAAACTTCTATTGATTTGCCGAGCAGTTGAGCAAACATTTTATTCACAAGCCTTTGGTATGTAGCCCCTGCATTTTTCAAGCCAAAAGACATTACCTTGTAGCAGTAGAGGCCTCTATCGGTTATGAAGGATGTGTGTTACTCGTCGGTCGGATGCATGAGGATCTAGTTGTATCCGGAATATGCATTCATAAAACTCAGCATCTCATGCCCTGCAGTGCCGTCGACCATTTGGTCTATTCGAGAGAGTGGGAAACTATCCTTTGGACAGGCTTTATTGAGGTCACTGAAGTCGACGCATGTTCTGCATGTCCCGTTAAGTTTGACCACCAAAACGGGGTTCGAGACCCACCGAGGGTAATGGGCCTCTATAATGAAACCGTTGTTGATTAACTTATCGACATCTTCTTTCAATGCATCGTACCTCTCCGGGTTCATCAGTCGGCGCTTCTGGCGTTTGGGGGGATATGAGGGGTCGATATTCAAAGAATGACATATGACTTCTGGGTCGAACCCTTCCATATTCGCATGATTCCAGGAGAAGACATCCAGGTTCTTTTTGAGGAAGCTCTCGACTTCCACCCTAAGTGATGGGGTTTAGTCAGAACCTACTTTCAGCACTTTGGTTGGCTCGTCCTCGTCGACTCGAATCTCCACCAACTGCTCGACGGGTTGAGACCATGCGGCCTCCTCTTGGGGTCTATGTCCTCAATGGCACCTTGATAGACCACTCTGGACTCTTGCCTCCCTGACTGGTCATATCCGCTCAAAGCGTCAGAATATGCAACCCTAAATTCGTATTAGTTGCTCTTTATTTCACCTACACCGTTTGGGATAGGGAATTTAACATTCTGGTGGTAGATGGAGGTTATTGCCCTCAACGCTTGAAGGGTCAGCCTCCCAATGACGGCATTGTATTGGGAGCCTCCCTTTATTGTTATAAAATTAGCCATTATAGTGGTTTGTCGAGATTTTTTCCCGGCGGTTGTAGGCAGCCGAATTGTCCCCTGAGGTATGACGGAGTCCCCAGTGAAACCGTACAACGGCCTGGACGTTCTTTCCAATTGCTCCTTTGGAATCTCCATCTTTTTTAGGCAGTCGGAGTATAGGAGGTCTACCGAGCTCCCATTGTTCACCAGGATTCGGCATACGGTGTGATTTCTGATTATAGCTTCTACCACCAAGGCGTCGTTGTGGGGGAAGTGAACCCCATTGGCGTCGTCCTCATTAAACGCTACGTCAATGCTGCCGAACCTTATTGCTTTCGCGGTGGAGACACTCCAGAACTTTTCCTGGTACACCCCTCTAGCTTCGTGGGTGTAGTCTTTCTGAGATCTCAAGTCTCCTCCAATGTATGGACCGCCGAGGACTATCCGTATGACGCTGACGGGTTCTCGGTCCTCTGGTCGCTGATTCTCCTCTCGGCGTCGACTGTCGTTCTGGCCGCCGTGACCTCGTTTCTTGGTCTTCGCTCGGCCTTGAACTCCTGCAGCATTCCCTCACGGATTACCCTTTCGATCTCATCTTTAAGATCGGCGCAATCATTGGTGTGGTGGCCGACGTCGCCGTGGAACCTGCAATATTTTTTCTAGTTCCTTCGGCTGGAGTCTGACCTCATCGGCTCTGGACGGCACAGCAAGTTCCCACGACCTACATGATTAAACACTTCTTCGACTCCTACTATCAATTCATGGTAGGAATCGTACCTTTGAAACGGCCGAGGCTTGCGGTTCTCTTCTTGCTTTGGCTTCTTAACTTCTGGAGTGTTCGGCGCCGAAGCATGCTGCTTGTCCCCGCTTCCTCCGCCTTGTCGTTTCTTTCTGTCTTACTTTCCTGCTGTCAACCATTGCTCAGTCCCTTTGTTTTTGTTGGACCTATGCTCGGGGTCGTTTGCATCTGTTTTCTCAGCGTTGATGTACCCTTGCGCTCGTGCAAGGAATTCTTTGTAACTGGACGGGGCTTCCGGTTCAGCTCTCTCTTGAAGGGGGTGATTTTCTTCATGCTAGATAACGCCCCCATCAAGGCCTCTATGTCAGTTATATCTGTTGTCGCGGCGACAGCTTCCTCATACCTTGCGAGCCACTCTTTTAATGACTCGTTTGGCTTCTGGTATATCGTTGTCAAATTCTACTTTGGAGTGACATTTTTTCACTCCCATAAACTGGAGAGAAAATGCTTCCTTCAATTCATCCCAACTTGAGATGGAGTTTGACTTTAGCGTTCAAAACCATCTCCGGGTAGAGTCCGTTAAATGGTTTCGGAAGGCTCAGCACATGATCTACTTGGCATATCCATGCAAGAGCATGTGCCCCGTGTACATTTCTAGGTGATCGTCAGGATCCCCTCTGCCGTCGTACGGTGGGATCGACGGTGACTTGTATTTATCGGGGAGAGGTGGCGCCATAATTTCTGCGGTAAACGAGTGGTCGTGCATCCAACTAGGCGTGATGTCAACGTTCACCACCTCGGCCACTCGCCCTATATTTTTCTTTAGGCCAGAGACATCGCCCGTGAGCTTTTGCTCTAGGCTAGCCATGCGCTCCATAATGGCTAGTGCCTCCTCCGTAGAGATTGTTGAACCGGCTGTTCTCGACGCTTCTGCCCTTTGTGCGTTGGGTCCGCCTCTTGCCCGTCCACCCACTTGTACCAACCCCGCATCTCCTGGAAGGTTTCTGCCTGGGTTCTGAGGTGGCGCTTCGGGGTTTCCCAGGCCTCTGGCTATTTGGTTCTCAGGAGTCCAGAGTCCGGCGGCCCTTAGACGACTGTCGATGGATTGGGAGAGTCGAGGCCTGGGATCACCTCTAAGATTTTCACTGTCCCTGATTCCTTCTGGGATATCTTGGCGGTCACCGGGGTTATGGTTTCCAGCCACGGCAGCTTCTAGCAGTCTCGGGGCGTCTTCTAGAGGCGGCATTGAGTTTCTTCCATCCAAGCGCTCAACTATAGTCATCAGTCCCCGCACCAGGTCGGTCAGGGTAGTGAGCTGGGCCTACATCTGCACAGGGTCTAGTCACGGCATGTCTGGGGGTAGGGCTCCATTTCTAACTGGAGGTGGGTCTTCTTCCATCCCGTCGTTCGCCGGATGTGTGGCAGTTTCTTCCATCTGGCTACCTTGGTTGATGGCCTCAACTCTTCTTCTTGGAGGCATGTCAACAAACGTATGAACCAAAGATTCTGGGTTCGGTCCCCAGTGGAGTCGCCAATTGTTGATGGCTGAATTCCGTCAACAGAAATACGCCGGGTTACCCGCTGGTATCCCGTTGGGTTGCCGGCTGGAAATTAATTATATATTTAAAATCAGGCTGTGAAGTGTTTGTTGTATTTTTTGGAGCGTGAGTGTAACGCTTGAATGAGAGGACACACGAGATTTATAGTGGTTCACTCTGTTAATGAAAAGCTACATCTACTTGTGTATGATATATTTCTTTTGGACTTTTACAATTTACATGAACGTATATTCTCTTTATGATTCAATACTTGAGAAGTCCATCCCTTTCGTGTATGGGGTTTTGCCCCTTTTATAGCTCAAGCTTCCTTCGTGGGTGGTTTTCCTTCGTAGGTAAAAGTACTCGAATGGCCTACTTTTCTAGGTACAGACCGTAGCCCACTAATCACCTTTTGGACTGTTCACTCAGCCAATTAGTCTTCCATTACGGCTCTGTGGATTCCTGTAATCCTTCACTGCCCACTGTAGGGCGGTTTAGGGGATTGCATTTAATGCCCGTACTGCAGACGTCTCTCACCTCTAGACGCAACTTGTGATGTCAGGCTTCTTTCTGAAGAGTATTCCCCTCTTCGTCTGTGCTGCGTAGACCTCATGTGCTTCCTGGCAATCGACCCTTTCCAGACGGGGATTTTGTTGCCATAAGTTCGACGGTATGACTGCTCGACGCCCTAAGTTGGGCCGTTCTTCGTAGCGTAGTAGGGAAGCGAGCTTTAGGCGTCGAGGGTTGTCACATTTTGAGGAAAAGTAGGAGCACGTGTCACGCTGTTACCGTTCCACATGTCACCCATATTTTCCCACACAACAATATCTTTAAAATCTAACTTGTATACAGTCCAAATATTTACAACAAAATTAGGTTTCATGGATATGGAAGAGCTGACACCAGATGGATCGCCAGGCCTTTATATGGATGTTGGCTGGGATAACAGCATTATCAGAAAAGTTTTTGGTATTTTTCTTGTTTTACTTTTTCATTCACCATGTTTTTCCAGTTGTTATAGTGCATCATCACACAACGTGTTGGGTTTCTTTTTCATCTAAAATTGCTTTGGCAACTTCAATCATGCATGTAAGATCGAACAAATAGCCATTCACAAGTAACAGCAAACGATGCAAAAGACTACTTCTAAGGTTATGAGAAAATGCAGGCAGCAGAAAAAGAACAAATAACTGCGTGGTGTCAAAATCAAAACTTAATGAATACTTAAATAATTTGGAAAAGAAAAAATTGATCGAATATTGGAATTCATCATGGATGGAACTACTGTACTAATTCATTCTGAAGGCAGAAATACATGTGTTTGCACAAAAAGACATAAATGCATGCCAGTAAATAATCCTATTTGGTTGAAAACCTTCTTTCTCTTTGCAGGAAAAAGCAAGCAGTTTCAACCAAATAAACCTTCAACAAAAGCGCAAGCAGCCGTAGCACTGACAAGTGGCAGGATGACAGAAGCAATACAAAACGAGTTGTTGAGACTTGAAGCCGAAAGTTCCGCAAGCTGAGATGGAAGTAATTTGGTTTGAGTTGCTTGAAAGAGGAGACATAAAGAGGCTTTGGGATGAGAAGATGAATGAAGAGAAAATCCATGGTCTTGAGGTGCAGAAAGTGTATCTTGATGCAGTTAGTGATTTGGAGCAGGAGAAGGTCGTTCAAGAAAAACATTATGCGAAGAATTTAAATGAGAAAGCAGCTATGGACTGTCAGAGGCAATTGCTTCTCAGTCTCAAGGAAGAGGTCAATGAGATGTCAGAAAAGCTTGCATCTGAGAGGGCTTTGTATGTGGTTGAGCAGTGTGATTTGCGAGATATGCTTAGTGATTTAGAATCCAAGCAGGAAGGAATGCTCGATACAATTGAAATGATTTATTGGACCTTATAGAGGAGAACGATATCATTTACCACAATTTCGAATGGGTCGTCGACCAACAGACAGTAAAGAGGTATTCAACTAAGCACATTCTTCTCTTTGAAGTGTCATTGAAACGCACTTTTAGTGTTTGGAAGAAAAAATGAAAAATTTTGAGAGACATGCCTAATTATTCATTTACGGAGCAAGTAAAAATAGTTATTGCAACAATTGCGCTTCATAACTATATTAGGATGCATGATAAGCGTAATCGACATTTTCAAGAAGTCGAGGATAATGTAGATGTTTTCACTTATGAAAAGCATCAACTGGAGGACAATGTAGAAGAAGATGAAGCTTCACTATCACAAGAAATGGATGAAGTATGAGATCAAATTGCGACAAGTTTAATGAAAATGACTTAATTCTTTTAATGACTCTGTCAGTTTTTGAACATGGAATGTACTTTTTTATTCAACAAATTGATTACTCACTAATGCTCCTTTTAGTTGTAATTATATTGTGAATGAAGAAATAAAAAAAAGAATTAATTATCATAAATTTATTGTTAAAAAACTCAAAATCATAGCATTATGTTTTTTTTTAAAGTTAAATAAGTATTTCTAAATACCAAAAATAATTATATATATTTAAGTTTCATATCATGTCTCTTTTTGTCATTTTATATACCCACAGTAATTCAACATCAACATTTACTAAATACTATTTACACTGATTTTAAAACTAACACAGCTACTATAATTACAGTTTACCAAACACTCAATCACTTCTTATAACAGTTATTTTTTTTCAGTACAGTTAAAAGTAATTTTTTTTAAATCCAGAGCACTATCAAACTAAGCTTATAAATGCTTGCATTATAAAACTACTTTCTCAATCGTGCAGATTCAATGGAGTCACTTTCACTAGAAGATTTACTTTTTGTACTTGTAATATAAGAATTCATCTTCCAAATTAACATCATTTTCGGTCTCCTTAATATTTGGTTTACTTAATTTTATTGGAGGTCATTTTTTCTTTACCATGTGGCTAATACAGTCTTGTGAAACCGTATTAGTGTTTAGATTGCAAAGCCAAAATTTTCTCAATATTTCTAGAGAAATTCAACTACCCACTTTACTTTTTTTTTTTTTTTTTTTAAGCGCGTCTAATAACTCCAAGCTTTTTAAAGGATTTTGTTGAGATCTTACATTGAATGACTGTGTCAAATGCACATGAAAGAGAGAAGTCGTCGCCAATTACAAGATTTTTTTTCAACACCGTCAAGCCACGCACAGACACTTTCCTAATCATAAAATGGACCAACCCATAGCATTCACATCAAAGTAATGGAAAATGGAAACGTATGTAAAATTAACATAATCTGATAAAAACCTGAAGTTCAAAACAGTTTTTGATTGGTAGAATTTAGAGATTAAAAATATCCTATTTTCCATTTGATGTATGATGAGACACCTATTAAATGGCAATCGGCATAGTAGTTCAGACTTTAAACTACTAACTATTAAATTAATGACAATTTGCATTAAAGGAAACATGTTTGGACGGCACGGCATGATTAGTCTATGAAAAATAAGTGGTTAACTCATGTATATGAGAAACATATTCTTTTATTGTAATCATCATACTTCAACATCGGCTATTCTATGGAAGGCCAATCTGGCCCTCAATTCAAAAGACTATCTTTATTCCCAAAGCACAATCAATCATACAAAAAAAAGTTGAACTATATGAGTTTGTCCATCGTGATGCAACTCAACATATTTGTAAGCTATATCATCATTACTATATCATTTGAGAATAAAATTCCATGCAATGACTACAACTAAAAGGTTGATAACCCTCTTTTCTTTGATTTTTTTTTTTTTAACCGGAACTGAGATTTTTATTAATTACTCAATAAGTCTTTTGCGTGCAACGCGACTAATAAAAGATGACAACAATTAAACCAAAACACGTCACTAGAAAATATAGAGCGCGTTTGGAACTCGTTCTAAAATAATTTTATTTTTTATATGAAAATGAAAATGAAAACGTTTTTAATTTCAGACATAAATCATTTTTAAAAAATGTGTTTGGTAGTTTTATCAAGAGATTATTTTTAGTGTAAAAAAACTCATTAATGTATTTCTTTCTCTCTCGAGTCTACTCGAGAGAGAAGAAAATGAAAATAAAAAATAAAAAACGACTAAAAGTCATTTTTCTCTCGTTTTATACTAAATTAAAAAATCGTTTTCATTTCTATTTTTTATCTTTATTGCGTCAAACACCGTTTTAAAAATGTTTTTATTTTTTTTTATCAAAAAATAAGATCAATTCTAAACACGGTCATAAGTGCATGATTAGCCAATGTATGGACGACACTATTTTCTTCACGAGAAGTGTTACAACAATAAGCCTCATCTTCTTTTGTTACAATTGGCCGCACAAATCTCTTGGTATTTACATTCGTACTTTATGTGGTATTTTGATCAGATAATACCATTCTTTGTTATTTTGGTACATCCAATCTGATTTTACTTAATATAACAACCATTCTTTGTTTCCGCCAATGCTGCTCATAAATGCAGTCGTTTATTAGGCTTATTTAATTCGTTGATTTAAATTTTTAATTCGAATTGAGATATGATTTTATATGAGAGCTTTTACTGTAACAAAAAAGTTAGATGTGATTATTTCTAAGAGCTTTTTACTGTAGCAAAACTCGAATTCTAAACTCAAATCGATGAAATAAACGGGACTTTAAAATGGTTTTCTATCTCCATATTTGTATTATTTCATTGATTAATTAATTTAAACGGAGTGAGTAAACAGATATTTCCGTCATAATGTACTATTCCCTTAAAATTTTCAACCTACTATTAATTTAGGAAGCTGGGTTTTGGAAACAAGAGAACAAAAATTAAATTCACCCTTTTGCTACAAAAGTCTAAATTCTGCGGACAAGTGGAAATTAATAATGTCATAACCATTTTGTTACAGATCACGTGTTAGTAAAACTTGGTTGGCAAATTATTTGGTCAAGATTTGTTTTTTTTTTTCCTTCACTTTTTTTTTTGGTTTGTTGTACGTCTACATTTTTTTCTTTCCAACAAACATTTGAACCATTTGGAAGTTTACTTTTGATATATCAACTTAAAATTAATTAAGAAAAAAAAACTGACATCAAATCAAACTATCACCAAGGATGCCAATACAAACCGAAAGAAAAGAAAAAACGCGGCTACCGCTTTTAGTAGCCAATTTCTATAATTACATAAACGTTTATGCTAAATCTCTAAAGACGTTTAGTTCATAAATTAGAATCATGAAATTTAAATTATTTTTAATTTACGTGTATTTTTTATGAGAAAAAATACTATAGCGAACCACGAATCATAATTCGAATCAGTGTACGAATCTCTCAACTAAATAACTCCTAAATCAAAGATTCAAAAGGCTAATGCGTAAACATCCTATAATATTATTAATTTTTTTATTTGAAGGACAGCGAGGTAATTAATTAGGTTTTCAAGAAAAGTACTGCAGTGTTGCTCCCCCAATAAATTTAATATTAAAGGAAAATAAAAACAAACAAACAAAAGCAAGCAAGAGAAAATGAATAAGTATGAAAAAGTAGAACAAGCATATATAACCGTCAACACAAGTTCTTAATCTTCACATGGATACCAAATTGCTCTGAAGACCTTCCATTGACTTTGTGTAGAAACATATGCAAGTGGTAATCCCACCCTACAAAAAAAAAAAAAAAAAAAAAAAGGTATAAAAGGAAATGGAATTATGGTCCTGAATTTGTATGGTTTTAGCAATTTAACCCCTGGACTTTTAATTTTAGTAAGTTATCTCCTTAACTTATAAAATTATTGCGATATGTCTCATTTTGATGATAATTGTGTTAAATTAGTGTCGAAAAAATACGTTCGATAAAAAATTTTAACATCGTAATTCTAGCGTAACATAAATCTTTAATTTTTTAACTTTTAATCCCTTAAATCTAATAAAAAAAATTTGAGTAAATTAAGTAAAATAAGGTACATTGCAACAATTATACAAGTTTAAAAGGTTGATTGTCAAAATTAAAAATTCAGAGAATAATTTACTAAACCACAGCAAATTCAATGAAGAATTGTGTTAAAACACGCTAAAAAAAAGGCTATATTAATGTTAACTAGAAAAACTCAAATGAATCAAAATCCCTAAAAAACCATCACATGAGCAAAGCAAATGTCCTAGCAATTACACACAAGAGAACTAAACAGAACCCTTTGAAGAACATCAGAGCAAAAAAAATATTAGGGTGTTTATTTCGCGGTTTAAAATTATGAATTTAAATTAAAAAGTAAATTTATGTTAAATAAAATATTATAATAAAAAAATTAAATTTAAATATTAAAAAATTGGAGTTATATCCGAATTGCAAAATGAATGGGCTCTTACCATACCAAAGCAGAAACCAGTAAAATAATTTTATAAGGTTTTTCACCTTATATATCAATAAAATAATTTTGTAAGGTTTCTCACCTTATATATCTAACACAAATTTCCACAAACGCCTTAAATTATACTTACCATGAAGAGCGAAAGAAGAGAGAAAGAGAGACTTTGATGTTGTAGACATTTAGTCCAAAAAGGCCTTAAATTGGGGTAGACACAACATGTTTCCACAGAAGCAGACAAACAAAGTCATCTTCATCATAAGATGACAAACCCAGCCAAACCCAGCTTTGAGTAGTACGTATTGAATTTATCATTGTGCCCTTTTCAAGATTTTTTTTTTTTTGCTAATCTTTTTAATTTTCCTTCTTATTATTTATTGTTTAGATGTTATAGACATTAGACAGTTAGTCAGCCGCCACTAACAGTAACGGCGTTAACCAGCCAACAACTAAACAGTCACGGTTACTGAAAAAAATAATTCAAACAAAAAAAAAAAGAAAAAAAAGAAACTTGTGATTGGCCCAGAGCTGAATTTGTTACTTCCACGCCAATATCCATTGGGCAGTCATTTTCAGCCCAGTGGTCCACGGTGTGAAAGCTCTCTGGAAGCAATAAAAACATGCCTGGAAATAGCATTAAGGATTCAAGTAAATTAATCAACAAGATAGAGAGAGACCCTTGAATAATTGAATTGAAACAGAGAGAAGTTAGGCCAGAAAATTGTTTTTTTTTTTCCTTTTTTTTTTTCTTTGTGAGAAAAAGGGAAAAAAAATGAAACAGAGGAAAAACAGAGACTTTTACAGAGAGGAGAGAAAGGTCAAACATGACCGGTGGCGCCGGTCAATTGTTGATAAACCTCTCTCTCTCTCTCTACAACTCTTCTTCATCTCTATTTCTATCTATATCTCTCGTCCTCTCTCTCCCTCTCTCTCAAATTCTTTTGTTCGTCTCTGTGGATCGTTGGAGGGGATATTGGGAGGAGCGAGAGGGAACATAAAATTCCGTGATTGAATTGTGGTAGAAGAGATAGATAATTCTTAGCCGTATCTGGGTTTTGTTCCAATTTTGGTGGAAGAGAAATGGCAGTAAGTTTCGTCTCTGTTCGTCTTCTTGTTATTCACCCCTCTTTCCCTGTTCAAATGTAGAATTTTTCTGTTAGGTTACTGGGAAAACGAAAGGAAAAAGAGAGAGAGAGAGAGGAGATTTTTAAGCTCATGCATTGTGCTTAGTCACGTCTTTCTCGATTCCTAAACAATTGCGTCGTTTAGAGAATCATATTTGATTTTTCTTTTATAATTTTGGCGTTAGAAAATTGGAAGCTGTAATATCAAACCAGATTTTTTTTTCTGGTTTTTGGATATATTTGGTTTTTAATTGCTTTTCTGATTGGTCGTGTGCTTTTTCTTAGGTTGTTCTTTTGAAAAAAGAGGTCGTTGGTGAAATTCGATGTGTTGTTGATCTGGATTGTACTATTTTTGCAATTTTAGATTGTATTTTTGATTGCTTGCTGATTATATATCAAAGAGGATAATAAATCATGAAACGTTCTATAAAATTATAATTTTTTGGAAAATTCTATAAATTCTAATTGATCGACATTATACCCACTAGATATGATGATGAATAAGATTTTTCCCCCCACCAAATATTGCATTATAATATACTGACTACATTATGCAATTTTTGGATGTTTTGGGTTTTTATATTTCATTTTTTGCCTGATAGTATGGTGGTAAGTTCATGTTTGCAGAATTCTTCAGTTCCTCTTTTCAGAGATCTTCAAGTAATAGAGAAACTGCATGGACTTTGGTTCTATGCTATGCAAATATGTTGTATTAGTCAAAATTGGAGGAAATTTGGGTTCTTAGTAGTAAACGCCACTAAAGCAAGATGTGGAGTTGGTTGCTTATTTTTTGGCCTAAAGTTTCTTGAATATGTGGTGTAACTAATTTAATGTCGTAAGCCAAACCAGCAGTCATGAAGTTGGGATGGCCACTTGCCTCTGTCATCTAGCAAATATGACATTTTGAAGGAAGATTAGGTGTCCAGTCATTACATGGTTTCTTTTAGGATGATGAATATAATGTAATTAGAAAAATACCCTGAAAGACGTCTAAAAAAGTTTTGTCTTTAAGCCTTTGCCAATAGGATGGTGTAGCGGTTAGGATGCCTTTATTTAGTCTTAATGTGTTCAAGATCTCATACTCCATAACCTCATCTTAAGGTTCTTGTCTGTTAATGGATGTTTGGCGTGGGGCTTGTGGTTTAGGAGTGAGACTGAGCCTATTCTTTGAGTAGGGTGGGTCAAGTCCTTTCCATTCCATTGATGGGTCTGTAGATTTCTGCTATAGACGAAAGGGATGAGGGATGAGATTGCACCAATAATTCCTTTTCTTTTATTAAAAAAAAGTATTACGTCTTTAAATGTTAGGACGAATGTCGAATTTGATAAAGATGAGGCACCATTTGTCACCTTATATTCTAATGGTAAAAGAAAATTCCAGTCAAAAAGCAATGATTTTGCTAACCCTTGATTCACACTGTTTAAGCATTTTTTTCCTTCTGGATCTAATCCATTTAGATGTGAAATTTTTATGTCATTCTGTGAACTGCAATACATTGTTTGTTGAAGGATTGAACCTGTCTACAGATTTTAACGATCACAATTTCTAATAATGTGGCAGCAACGATCGCATGTACCAAAATTTGGGAACTGGGAAAACGAAGAAAATGTTCCATATACGGCATATTTTGATAAGGCTCGCAAAGGTCGTACGGGGACAACGATGATCAACCCGAATGACCCCGAAGACAACCCAGATATCCTCTCTGATTACTCATCTTCAGCTGATACTTCTCTCACAAAAAAGAATGGAGGCCCGAAACCAGCAGAGCCTGGTGCTGGTGCGGTGAGATCAGCACATGAAAGGCAAAGGAGCAAGGAGGATAGTGAGTTGAGGCAGTTCGCAAACGCTCCAGCGAATCACAATAACCTTGGCCGCAGAACCAGTTATGACTTGACAAATCAGCGTCAGGGTGGTGGAGGCCGTGGAGCGGTTTCTGGTGACACTCAGAGAAGACCTGCAAGGCATAGTACTGGCTCCGACCAAAGTATTGAAAAGTCACCCCTTCATCGCCATGCCAGGGCTACTGGGCGAGATTCTCCATCTTGGGAAGGAAAGAGCTCATATGAAGGTGGTACTCCTGGACGATCTCGGTTGAGACCTCGGGGAGACGAAACAGTAAGTATCTTCTTTCTTATATACTGTCCTTTTTGCTATATATGTTGAAGGTGTTTATCTGGATTCTGGTGTCATGTATAAGTTACCAACATAGGAAAAATACAATACTAGATCAGCTTAATGTTTTAGAGTTTGTCTTATAATAAGAAATCTTCTCAAACAACTGAAAAATGGCGAGGGAAAAAGAAACCTGTTTAGACAGGCTAAAAATCTCTGCCTCAATAATTTTTGTCAGTACATGGTAAAAGCAATTATTTGAGGCCTGCATATTAATATACTATTTTGTCTTATAAGAATTGTTAAAGAAGGTCTCTCTTCAGGTCATGTCTCCTGTCAAAACGAGGAAAGCCTGAAGTGTTACTATGTCTTGTGCATTCTTTTGTTCCTTCCTTATTCTTCTTGTATTACTTGATACAATAGTGTTTGCCAAGACTAGCCCCTGACATCGCCATTTCAAATTTTCTAACGTGGGCAGCCTGATCATGGTGCTGCTGTTCCGAAATTCGGGGAGTGGGACGAAACCAACCCCGCATCAGCTGATGGATTTACTCACATCTTCAATAAAGTGCGCGAAGAGAGGCAGATTGGCGCAGGAAGAGTTGGCACGCCTGAGCCGCCCTATCATCATTCGCGAAAACCGGTTCAAGATGATAGTGCCAAGGTTTGTCATTCCTAATTTTTGTTCTCGTTCAAGATGATAGTGCCAAGGTTTGTCATTCCTAATTTTTGTTCTCATGGAAGATGTACGTACTTCTGGACTTCCACTTTTTATAACCCATTGTTCCTCATTAGTCATTACTATTTTTTGTTTTTTCAGGGCTGCTGCTTCGGATGGTTCAGAAAGTAGTGTCACTGAATTTTCTGGCGGATGACTTATATAAGGTGTAATTGTGGCACCAATGTGTATATACATATATATAATTTATATATAATATCTTTGAAGGCTGTCTCCTTGAGGAGTAACTTTTATGAAGTCTCATTCAGTTTCTAAAAAGTGTGCTGTTACGTATTAGTGAACATTCAATTCGGATTTGGAAACATGTTTTCTTTTCTTTTTCCCTCTTTTTTTTTTTGGGTTTATCCTTCTTCAACTTTAGTTGGTTTTGTTGTGATGTACTATTTACTCTTTCAGTTTTTTGGCTTATTAAATTTGAATGGAAAATACCAAATGAGAGATTCGTTTATTAATTTGTTCTAATTGCGTCGTTATAATGTTTATTTCTATCTAATATTACCATTGATGAGTATTATCTAATGATGTTCTAACTTCTACCAATGTCCAGAAGTGTATAATGCTCTTCGTTTTGTACGTTGCGTTGTTTCAATATCACAATTCATGAGAAATGGTTATTATCCGATAATTACTCTTTATTACCTACTTACAAAATTATCAAGATTAAGCGCAAAAAAAGAAAAAGAAAAAAAAACAATAACAATAACAACAACAGCAACAACATAATTGTCGATTTTAAGAACTTTATTTTAAGAACTTTATTTTAAAAAATACTTACTTTCTCGTTTATTTGTAAAACTATCGACTATCACATTTATAAAGATATTTTTATCCTCATATAATGAAAAATAATAATAATTAAACCACAAAAAGTATGAAAAGTGAGATAAAATCTGAACATTAAACATTATAAATTTTTAATATAAAAAAGTCAACTACCCAAACTTAAAATTGACTATGGTAGCCATTAAAACACCAAAACCCATGAAAATATGTACAGAAAGAATACATAATTTCACAAAAATAATGATTAGATCATAATGAAAATGAAAAGTACAACAATAAGTAATATCATTCGTAAAAAATCATCAAAAAAATATTATAATAAAGAAAAAATGTGATCAAACTATAATGAAGAAGAATCTAAAAAATAATAAACATAAAATCTCACAAGAAAATATGAACATAAGAAAATATTTTCTCTAAAATAATAATAAGGACAGACCATAGTGAAAGAAAAATTCTAAAAAAACATAAATATAAAACCTCACAAGAAAATATGAACAGAAAGAAAATAGTTTCTTTAAAAAAATGATCATGACAATACTATAATGAAAGAAAAATTTTAAAAAAGAGGAGACATAAAACCACAATACCATACTGAAAGAAAAATTTTAAAAAAGAGGAAACATAAAACCTCACAAGAAAGTATAAACATAAAGAAAATATTTTCATTAAAATAATAATCAGACCATAATGAAAGAATTTTTTTTTAAAAAAAGAAACATAAAATCTCACGAGAAAATATGAATAGAAAGAAAATATTTTTTCTAAAATAATGATCATATTATAATGAAAGAAAACTGTAAAATAATAAATACTATTATCCAACATTACAATAAAGAAAAAATATGATGAGACCATAATGAAGAATAAATAATTTCATTATTTAAATTAGATTGAAACGTGAGAATATATTATATACAAAGAATAGATAATTTCATTATTTAAATGATGAAAGTATTATGTGGAAAAAATATATAATATTTCATCATAAAACAAAATATATGATAAAACATGAACTAAAAAAAGGAAAAAACTCTTTTCATTAGAACAAAAGACTAAGAAAAAAAAATCCTTAAACACGTTTCCAAAAAAAAAAAAAAAAAAAAAAAAAACTATATCCGTACATGCCAACGAACGCAAAAACATAAACACATCTTTTAATTGTTTCAAAACGACCTAATAAATACATAGATGAATGAATATGAAATTAGAATCACTCAAAAAAAATGCAAAGCATAATTGTATCCAAACAAATACTTTTATGTAAAAAGGAAATATCTGGGACATTAAGTGGGAAACAATATGAAAGTGATAGATCAATGAAAAATAATATGAGAAAATCAAAAGATGAGAGAAAAAAAAAAGGAAGATTGTTGAGAAAATCTCACATATGCGCTTCGATCCCCACCGATGAACAAGAAAATCCGAAAAGGGAAAGCAAAAACATGAACGGAGCAATGATGAAGGAGGATCCAACAAAGAAACGAGGGACAAAATGGCTTCTCTCCCAATGTGGAACTTGTCCAACAAAAACAATTGCAATGAGTTAATCGTGCAAAAAGTTCAAATAAATAAATGAATTCAAAAAATAGAATAACAGGGAAAAGGCTATCGTAGAAAAGAATCAGCATAAATCATAATGATTGATTAAAAAAATCAATTAAAATAGAAATGGAAAGAAAATATCTAAATTATAATCAGACTAAAAAAAGATAACAACTACCTATATAAAATGTCTAAAATACACAATAACGACAAAACCGAAATAAAAATTGCCTAATAAAACTCAAATATGCATTCTTGTAATATTATATAATAGTTGATATTTTTGAAAATATAACTTTCAAAATATAACTTTTAAAATAGGCATTTTATGTATTTACTTCTATTCTACTCCATTTGCTTCGCTATTTTGGGACATTTTCTTAAAATTTGGGCTCATTACGATGATCAAGTTGCATTTGCTCGGTCCAATGTGCACCTTTTTCTCCTTTAGTTTTTTTTTATTTTTTTAAGAAAAGGTATCTTTGATTTTTTAATTTAATTTTCGTCTTACAAATTTTTAGTTATTAATTTGTAAATTTCATAACCCGTTGCACAAATTTAAGTGAAAAACAAACATAATAAAAAAGAAAAACAGAAATGGGACATGAATTATTCACATTTTTTTTACTAGAGCAGGACATGGATCATTTTTATTTTCTTATATATTGTATTTAAATAGATAACAATCAAAGCAATAAAGGGCTTGGAATTGGATGATTTGTAGTTTATAGTGCTATCCATGAGTTGAGTCACGCAAGATCCAAACCCTCGACATGTTCCGTTGTCAAATTCTTTGGAATTGGTTTCAAAATAATTTTATTTTTAATAAAAAGTAAAAATGAGATTGTTTTGAGAACTATTTTATAACCGATTCTGAAATTGAGTTTGGTTGATTTTTTAAGAGATTGTTTTGAGTATAATAAAAAAATAAAATCGTGTTTATTAATTATTATATTATAATATTATTGATAAGTGCTAAAAAATAAAAATAACTTTCAACTGTTTTCTAATTCATTCACAAAAACTTTTATCACTTTTTTCATTTTTAAAATATTTACTAAACAAACGTCGTTTCATTTTCATTTTTTACTTTTTAAAATACGTGAAAACCGTTTTAAAAAACGGTTCTAAACACACACTACGACATCGTTCATTTCACCGATTCGAGTTTTCAGTTATAGGTTTCTACAGTAAAAAGCTCTTAAAAAATGTCACATCTAACTTTTTCTGTTATAATGAAAAGTTATCACAAAATGTCACATCTCAGTTCGAATTAAAAACTCGAATCCGCGAAATGAACGAGGCCGACATTTCGGCCGCTAGACGCCATAAGAAGTAAAAGTCAATAAACAGGTCAACCTACTTTCTCGAAATGCAAACAGTCCATCGTCACCGTTCATACGAATTACTCCCCTTACAACCAAGTCACGTTGTAAAACTCAACACACAAGATCCACGAGAGAAAGAATCCAACCGTGGGGTCGGCCGCAGCGTATTCTCTCTCCTCCGAACTCTCGCCATTGGCCGTAGCGCCAAATTTTCGCGGGCGCATTACAAAATTCAAAAATTTCACGGAAACCCTCGGCAAAATTCAAACTGAAATTTATAGAAATGAAAATCGCATGCTCAACAAAACCTTTCTCTCTCCTCCTTTCTCTCAGATCTGAGATTGTCTCACTCGAACTCTTCGTGAAAATCTCAGGCACTCTTCAATTGAAACCTGCCATTACGTTTCTTCTTCTTCTTCCTCTCTTCTGTAAACCCTAATTCTTGCATTTTCCTTTTATGAAATTCAATGTCTGTAATTGTTCTCTGAAATTATCGTATTCTATTCCGCAATTATGCTAGGAAAGAGTTCAACACTAGATGAACTTTGAGTTTTCATTTGGTTTCTACCGAAATTTTCTCCCTCTTCTCGCTTGAAATCTGATCTCCCAAATTGAGGGATCATGGTGAGGGAGAAAAGTGTGGAAAGCTTCTACGCAAGGCTCCGAGAGTCGGCGACGGCGTCGTCTTACTCTCCTCTTCTGATATTCCCATCAACCTCAGACGCAGACTCGCTCTGTGCCCTAAAGATAATCTTCAATGTCCTCGAATCCGATTCGGTCCGGTACGCGTGCTATCCCGTTTCTTCTTTTCAAGAAATTCACAAATATGCCGGCTCTGATTTTTCCTCTGCGTCTGAAAACCCGGTTTCGATCCTTCTCATCAACTGGGGATGTCACCGGGACTTGAGGAAGGCCCTGGATTTAGGCCCCGCGGCGCGGGTTTTCGTCGTCGATAGCCATCGTCCGATTCATTTGCACAATCTGAGTGAGCAGAATGATCGGGTGGTTGTGTTGTATACTTTGGATGACGAACACCAAGCTGATTTGGCCTACGATTTTGATGTCTCGGCTTTGGCTAATGCGAGCGAGTTGAATAGTGATGATGAAGCCGATGACGACGACGACGATGATGACAGTGAGAGTGAGGGAGAGGAAGAGGAAGATGGGCGTGGTTCGAGGAAGCGGAGAAGGGTTTCTCAAGAGAATGAAGAAGATCCAGTCCAGCTTTTCCGGAAACTGAAGAAGGAGTACTATCGTATGGGCACGTTCCATGGTAAGCCTTCCGGGTGCTTGATGTATGAATTATCTCATTCTTTGAGGAAGAATACGAATGAATTGCTGTGGTTGGCTTGTGTTTCGTTGACGGATCAGTTTGTTCATGAGAGGTTAACGGATGAGAGGTACCAAGCTGGGGTAATGGAGCTTGAGCAGCATATTAACAGTTCGGGTAATTTGGATGCAGTAACTTCAGTGACTCTTAAAGACGGGACGAAAATTAGAGCACCAAATGCTTTGAGAATCGCTTACGAAGATGAGCCTAGGCTAATGCTGCTACAGGAATGGAATTTGTTTGATTCAATGCTGTGTTCTTCGTACATTGCGCCTAAATTGAAGACGTGGAGTGACAATGGAATGAAAAAGCTCAAGCTTCTTCTTGCCCGGATGGGATTCGCACTTGTAGATTGCCAACAGAAGTTCCAATACATGAATCTCGAAGTGAAAAGGAAGATGAAAGATGAGTTCGAGCGATTTCTACCGGAGTATGGGGTTACCGATTTCTACTTCAGGAGTTTCTTGCGGCTACATGGTTATAGCTCAAGAGTTTCTGCTGCAGATGTTGTCTACGGAGTTACTGCCCTGCTTGAGTCCTTTGTAAAATCCGATGGATCTTGTGCTTCCAAGCAGTTTGGTGTGGCCTATGATGCTCTTTCACTGAGCAATCTTGATAAGCTGAAATCTGGGATGCAACATGCTATCAAGATACAGAGAGCGATTCTTAGGCAAGGAAGCACAGCGATAACTAAGAGTGGATGTATAAGAAGTGGAAGAAAATTCCGGTGGGTGAAGCTTGAAGATTTGGTGGATACGAAGTTGTTGGGTTACCCGCAAGCATTGACTAAGTTTTGCTACTTTTTGATGGATGCTTTGAGGGAAAAAGGAGCAAGAATGAAACCTTTGCTTTGTGCTTGCTTGTCACAAGAGCCTAGCAAGGTACTAATAGTAGGGGTTTGTGGGAAGCCTCGACTTGGGGCGGTTCAAGGAAATGCATTTGGAATGGCATTTAGGAATGCGGCTGAGGAGATTGGAGCAGAGTTCTTGCATGAGTTGTTTGAGTCTTCATGGATTGTTTTGGATGCAGCTGCTGTCAACTCTTTTATGGTAAGGTTGACTGAGAAGCTCTGATGTGGAAGTTTGACATTACTATGTCTAACTCAACTGTTCAGCTAGTTCAAGCAAGTATGTTTTTCTTGACAATTGTGGCATGTTTGAGATGCTTAATAAATGATATCTATAGTTCTGTACCAAAGAAATGTGATTGTTCAATTTTTTTTCCCCTTTTAACATTATTTCTGTTGTACCATGATCTTTGAAGCTGAAGTTAACTTGGCTCTGTTTAACTTGTAATAAATTATTTTTTTTTAACGCCTTCTGCCAATTTTTTATATTCGTGGATTCAATCCAAGCAGTGGTTTAAGGATCATATTATGCATAGGATATTTTCATGTGCGGGGAAGAATTTCTAAAAGATCTTCCATTTACGATATTTATGAATTGAATATTGAAAGACCAGTCTTATGTCATTCGAATGTTGATTCAAGGTTTAAGTAGACAGATTTATATTGAAGTTGAGACTTTTGAACTCCTATGTTTTCAATCTTATCTATGTTAAAAAGTTCCTATATTTATTGCTTCGGTAGACTTCCAATGGCTTTAGGGATCTGGTTCTTCAGCTGTATTGAGTTAATTGACCTTTTTCCTTTATCTTCTCTTCGTTTTGGGAAAATTTAGTGCGTCTTTCAAATTTTTTTAGTTAACATATTTTCACAACTTGATATGACTGTTAGCTCCTCTCTAGTCCGTTAATAGAATATAATGATCAGTTAGTCCCTCTACCATTGCGCATTTTGTTTTATGAAAGTTATTAGAATCTGTGTCCAAGTCTCTCTAACGATTTCTCAAGTACTTTTCTGAAGATCACAAGAAAAGTGCTAAAATGTTGGACATTGTTAAAAAACCGCCTAGCTGGCCGCAGCCTGGACTCAAGCACTGCCAGCCCCATATATTAATCTGTTTTCCAATCGAGTTGCTACTATTAGAATACATTCAGACTGAATTTACCACTAGTTGAGAAGGTTATACTACTGTTAGCACACAGATTCCATGGAAGCATAGCCAAGAGCAGTCTTAGCAATTTCAAATCGTTATCTTTCCATTTGACAGTTCGCGATCTGAAGCTTGATGTTCATTTCTCTGCTTCTTCAGGAACTCATTACATTATGAAGATATCTGCTGCAAAATGTGACTTAAAATTGTAGCAGAAGCTTACTAGTCAATTATGAATGATTGTTATTTTTATAAGGAAGCATTGGGGCTGCAGATTGTTTCTGAATGTGCTTTGTCCTAGTATTTTCATGCTTTTCGGTCTGTTGATTTCGAGTCATTCCTCTGTAAACTATTCACCTGGATTAACTTACCAGGCTAGCTAGTTTTGAACGTTGAACAGTGTATTTTTTTGGGCTCTTGAAATTACTGGTTGGCGTAGTAAGGATCGAATTTTGGGCGACTTCGAGGAGTACTACTTTTAAAGAGTTGGTCCCGAAAATTTATTTAGTTTACACAAAATAATACAGGTGAGCAATTGACTTCACAAGTTGTGCTGTTGTAGGCGAATTTTGCCGGTGTCCTATATTTCTGTTGTAGACTAGTTGCCTTTCAACAAAAAAAAAAATGGTACTATATTGATAGGTGTACGAAAATATACCTTTCCGTGGACTAAATTATTTTTCCTTAGTGGTAAATCAATTTTGTTTAAAATTTTTTTGCTTTTTTCAAAAGGAGAATGTATTTCACACCATGACAATGCAAATATCAATCTTTGCCTAGAACCACTTGCTACAAGAAACATATCATCAATAAATTTCATCAAAATTTATCGATAAGTAACCAATTCATATAAATTTAAATGATAACCTTACAAGTGTAGGGATGGGAATCGGACGGGACGGGGGCGGGTATGATCCCCTACTCTCATATTTTATTTTTATTTTATTCTCTATACCCGTCTTCATACCCATTTAATCTTAAATAGGATGAGGATTAAAGAATCCTTACTGAGAGAACTATTCTATACTCTATCTATTTACCCATTAAGAAAGAAAAGGATTCTCGTAATATTATAAAACTCAAAGCAAACATCATTAAATTAATTATAAAATTTAACAACATACTCATTAATGTCTCATAAAAATTTATTATTTATAATAGAAAAAATATTATAATTAAAAGGATTGTTTCCCTTTTCTTTTATAATTATTAGTTATTATACATAAATTTTAGGATTTTTTTGAAGTATAATATACATATACATATTATAAAATAAAATAAAAATACATATAATCAGGTCGGTAAAGTTTACCCCACTCCAACCCCATTTATGATTTGGGAGTTAATTCTAACTCTATACCTACCCCCACTCCATATAGTATTTTCTATACCCATCCTATTAGGGGTGGGTACCTGGGGAAACCATACTCACGGGTAAGATTCTCATCCCTAAAAATAATATGTACTGAATCAGATAAAAGTGCACATATGGTGTTTCAAATAGGGATGTGCAACAAACTATTTAAACCATCAAACCGACCCAAACTAAACCAAACCAATTAATTGGCTTGGTTTATTTTTTTAAAACTAATTAAATTAGTTTGGTTTGTAGTTTTAACTTTTAAAAAACCAAACCAAACCAATTCAATTTATATATATTTTCTAAAATTGTATATATGTTATAGATTTGTAACGTATTCATATATAAAACATATATTTATTCTAATATTAAATGATCATAACCCTAGAAGTTTCTATTATAAGAAATGCTTGTTGTACAAAATATTAGTAGTTAGTATCAGTTACGATTAATGGGATTTAAAAAGATATTGTAAAATATTAGTTCAAACCAATTAGAAAAACTAAACCAATTACAATCAATTTGGTTTGAATTGGATTGGATTGAATTAGATCTTTTATAGGTTGTTTAGTTGGAGGATTCGTGCCCCGATTCGAATCATGATTCATGGTTCGCTACAGTGTATTTAATACGTGGGTGTGGGTATTAATTTAATTTACCAAATTTTTGATATAAACTGAGATTTAGCACTAATGTGTCTAGTTCCCATCTCAATTTTTTTAAAAATTGGAAATGCAAAAAAAAAAAAAAAAAGTCAAATAAGTCATAAATTTATGAGAAAAACAATTCAATGAGAAATATTATCGCAATTATAATTCAAAATTATTTGTGAAAATATTAACTTTTTTTTAATGTTTCCAAAAATCATAATGATGGAGATCATACCTATATTTATTTCAGAATTAAATTTATTTTTATGCTACTTTGTTATTATTAGAATTATTTGAGTTCCAAGTGTATTAGAAATTCTGTTATTATTAGGATTTAATATAAGCCTATATAAATAGGCCACGTATTTGTACTTTTCTCCCCTCTTATTTTCTCTCTTCTTTTTTTTTTTTAGCAACTCTTATTTTCTCTTTTCTCTCTTTTCAATTTTAATTTCTTTCTCATCTCTTCTCTTTTTCTTCTCCTTATCACCCTATTTCTTCCATGACATTGGTCGAACATCACCAACGTAAAAAAAAAAAAAGAGAAAAAAAAAGAAAAAAATTAAGAAATTGTCTTTAATTCGGTATTAGAGTGGTGCGGTATATGTATATTTTTTTAAAAATATGTATATTTTTTTTAAAACATGTATAATGTAAAAAAGACATATATAATTTATTTAAATATATATTTTAATAAAAAATATACATATTTTAAAAAAAGATATACATGTGCCGGTATCGAAGACTTTACCAAAAATTAAAGGTCGTAACTCACCAAAAAAAAAAATGGAAATAATAAAAATATGTCAATATGAAAAGTTTAAGGAAGTATATAGGTAAATTTTTAGTTATAAAAATTAATATGTCATAACTTGTCAAGTTATGGACAAACTTGTCAAGTTATGATTCATAGCCAGACAAGTTAGGGATAAAAATCGTGATTTATGGACAATAACTTATCAAGTTATGGTTCATAACCAGACAAGTTATGGACAAAAATAATAATTTGGCCTATTTATTAACTTATGTAAACTATTGGCGTATTAATTTAATTCATCTCAAATCTTGGTCTATTTCCCTCTTTCTCTCAAAAAAAACCTCACACGTGCTTGGGCACGTGGGCCAATTCGGGTTCGTCACTGACGCGTGCGCTCAGCGCCAGAGAGCCAAACCAAACTCTCTTTGCCTTTTGTCGCTAAGTTCTCTGCTATAATCTGAAAATCTCCCTTAAAAACTTCCGTTTCTCTTTGGAAAATAACCATTTTTTTTTTAATTTTCCTTTTCTCTCTCCACTGCGATTTTTATTTAAGAAAAATTTTGGAGAAACTGCGTCAAATTTCGTTCCTCAAGGGCTTGCTGTAAAGGTTAGAGCTTTTCGATTGAAATCTTTCTTTCTCTCTCTCTTTTAAATCTGTTTCGTGGTTTTTCATTTTATCGGAGTAAAATAGACGTTTTTCTTCAGTCGTTTGTGCGGATTATTTATTTTAGTCGTTTTGTTGAGATTATTGGTGTTTTTTTGCTATTTGAATTTTTCTGATTTGTGCTATTAGTGCTTATGAATCGTTTTTTACTTTCCCAAATTTTTTTTTTGATGATAATGGAGTTTATAACTTTTTTCTTTATTTTATTTTATAGTTTTCGGTGGTATTTTGATCCCACGGTTTTTTTATTATTTGATTTTTATGAGAGATTGATCAAAATTCCTTTTTTTATTATTTTATTGCAGCACATCGAATTTGCAAAAATCATTCTTCGATCTTCTACTTCATTTGTTTACTTGTTTGTATATTTTCGATTCTCATTTGCTTATACTTTTGCTCGAAAAATTCTGGGAAAGATTTATCGCTTTAGTTCTCATGTGATTATATAAGCACCAGTGAGAAATGGTGTAACTTGATAGCCCTGTTTGAGTTACACGCTTCTGATTGATCTTTGAGAATTATGTTTGTTGAATTAACTTGGTTGGTACAGAAAAATGCCATGTTTTTTCTTTTGCGCAGTGTATTTTATGTTTCCTTTGTTTCCAACAGAAAAAGGTGTCTCTGAATAACAATGTACTATTTTTTTTTGATTTAATTTTTATATCGTTTTCCGAATTCAGTTTTTTTTCAGGCGTTAGCTCGGTTAGGAAATAGATAATATTAGTAATGAGCACTCAGAACAGTAGGAGTGGTGTAAGAAGCTACCGCCGAAGGAAGGTTGCATTGAACTTAGACCTTAATAGTGTACCACCCGGTGATAATCGGAATCAAGAAGGAACTTCAATTCAAGTGGGAACCCAGAACACGCAATCTAGGCAACAAGGGAACTCTGTTCCTCCTCCTATGATTGATGTCGAGGCCATCGATGATGATGTCATTGAATCTTCGCCGAGGGCTTTTGCTGCGGTATGCCATAATTTTTTTGTTTTTGGTTCACATGTCATGATTGTGCGCATCTTCCTACTGTTTTGTTGGCATTGTGGCTTATGGTTATTTACTCTGTCATGTGTAATGTTAGGCTAAAAACAATAGAAGAGCCCGTGGAAGGACTATTGTTGATGTAGAGTCAGGTAGTTCTTTTGTCTCCTGATATTCTTTTCTTTATATTTTAATAGATTAAGAAATATAAATTAAGAAGTTAAGACGTATCATCTCGTATGCGCTTATCGTATTATTTTTTCTTGTACAATATTTGTGGTTTTAGTAGGAAAAGAAATGTAGCTTTGGTAACAGAAGATCCAACATTTGTAAATTGTACCATTCTTCTTTTGATGTGCTAACCTTTTATTTAGACTTGTCTCACAGTCTCTGTGTCTCTCTTATCATTGCAGAAGAACGTAATGGGGTTGGTCGCGGTAATCACAAGTGCAGAAGAGCTTCACCAAATCAAGTCGTTATCAATTGTGATTTGTACGTAAACTTGGAAAGTAGTGGCAGCTCCATGGTAACAACACTAATTCCTCATCTTGCATGTTTCATATATCACTGTTATACTGTATCCTTGTTTGCTTAACAAGGGGGTTTACGATAGATTAATTTATCCTTATTTGGTCAAAATACATTGTTAACCTGGTTTTGGTGATGATATATATGTTGAAATATTTCTATCCCTTCTTGATTGATGCTTTTTTGTGTTTGATGGAACTTTGTACTTATGTAGTAATTCAAATGCTTAAGATATTGTTGTAGATGTGGCAGAAGATTGAATTAGGATAAGTAACAATGACTGAACTTGCTATCTCACCTGACAGCTACATGTTTGCATTGAACAGTTGTTTGGATGTTTTAAAACTGATATGTGTCTTAGGTAATTAATTTTTCTCCAATCGCTGAAGTGTTTTGTGTAGCAAAATGAATATTCCTGTTTGGTATATGCTGGAAACATTTTCAATGTGAATGGAGTATGGTCATTGATTTGCTCTGAGTGGTTTGTATTGATTTTTTTGCAAAAGTTCACTATTTTGAACATGAGGTGTTGCAGATTGTATTTCAAAATTGCTAGCAACGTTTTTAGTGAGTTGAGAGTATTTTTATTTGATTAATTAAAAGGTATAATTCCTATGCTGATTGTCTTGAAGTTGTTCCTTGCTTCTTTCTTCCTTTTCAATGTAATGTGAAATGCAAATGTGCTCAACATGTGTTCTGTTAGTGCCCAAAAATGTCATACGAGGGGTTTTATTTAAGAAACAATGTTGTAATGCACAAGAGAACAAGCAAGAGAGCAGTTGGTTTTGAGCATGTTTGGTACATCTTGACAGCACGCATATATGCTTGTATTTACTAATTTCCATGAAAATGAGCTAGATGCTTTTATAGTAATAGTACATGTGCATTTGTTTTTGATACTTCAAACTCGGTACACAAAGGCTTCCTAGTTATGGCACTTATACATCTTTGGGTTGCATACTCCACAACTTTACTATGTGGTACTTATACTTCGCTGGGTTTGCTTATTCCACAACTTCTTTAACTTAACTCGCATGCATGGTTGGGACTCACTGCAAATACTTTTATTTTCAGGCAGAGAATGCCAAGAAGCCGCCACCACCACCAAAAGAGCCTACATTTACCTGTCCAATTTGTATGGGCCCACTGGCCGAGGAAACATCAACAAAATGTGGTCATATTTTCTGCAAGGCATGCATTAAGGCCGCGGTTAATGCTCAGGGTAAATGCCCTACCTGCAGGAAAAGAGTTACTGCAAAAGAACTAATTAGGGTATTTCTTCCGGCAACCAGTTGTTAGCTCATCTCTGGGATAACTCGTGTAAGTTGTTCCATGCTATATTTCATTCAATGTCAGGCAGATCATTAGGACATATAAGATTGATGGATCTTAGAAACAGTGGTTATTGTGCAGGGTGTGTCTTTATAGTCACTCGAATGCCATGCACAAATTCGTGAAGAAATGATCATTGAAAAATATATTAGTTTTTATTACAGTTGTATTAACCTTCAAGCAACTGTATTAAAAATATGCGAGAGATCATTGAGGATGTTACTATGTTACTGTGTTTTTGTTCGCCATAAAAAAGTTCTTGGTATGAAACTTTTTTATCTTCTCCTTTCACCTCCTACAGGGAGGATCTGTAGTATTTATTCCCATTATGTAACTCATGTTCGTTTTATTGTTCATTAATTTTGTCTGTTTCGTTCTGCGGGACTCGTGATTAACGGTGCCTTTTTTGTTTTTCGCTATTACAGGGATTGAGTTTTTCGCATTTGAGAGGACGAAAGAATTGGTTTTTCCTGTCATCAGAATTGAGTTGTTTCCATATTTGTCCATCTGAATATTGTGCAGGAAACTAATCTAATGACAATAGTAGTTTTCCATATTGAACAATACTTAGTGCATTTTAAAGTAAAATTCCTAAATGAAATATGCCAATGCTGGTCAAATATCATGTGTTATTTTCTTTGCAATATATATATATATATATGTATATATATCGATTGTTATTTAAGCTCAATAATGAGTTGTTGAAGTTTTTTATTGACCTTTTTATTTCTTGAATTTGGGTGTGGGGGATCAAAGGCTGCTTCTGAGACTAGAATCGGACAAATATCAAACTGGTAAACAAAACTTCTGTGGATAAGGGGAAGGAGGCAGCTTTCGCTCGTTTGTATAAAGCAAATTAAATAGCGGATGATATAGAAAGAGAGAAGCATAACAGTAAATCTGATTTATTTAAAAAGCTATTGTGCTTGGTACTAGCCAATAGCTATATATATATATATATATATATGGTGATCGAACAATCCCAAAAAGGCATCAATAGCCGGTCATAAAGCCATCTCGGGCCTCTCATTATTCATAAGATTACATAGCTCATACTAGATGTTCTCCACTTTACCAAGGATGTATATAGGATTTACCCTTTAGGAGTATGGCCTTTCTTAGCATCGTCTAGATCATACGTTTTCCAAGGGGTAGGGGCCCCTCCATAACCATAACCGCCGAAGCGGCCAAACCAAGGGTGGCCTGCAAACCAGGGATGTCCTGCAAGCCAAGAGATGAGGCCTCCAAGCCATCCCGGGTTCCACCCTCCCGAAGGAAGCCCTCCCCAACCACCCTTGCCCCACCACGGCCAAGCCCAAAAGGCTCCGAAGGTCGTTTTGTGCAGTGGACTACCAATGTCGGCCTCCTCTTTTCCAGGCAAGTCTCTTCCTCCTTCAGTGCTGGCCGTGAATGCCATGAAAAGGAGTGCCAAAGCGAGCAACGCCTTGGTACTTATCTCCATTGGAGTGTTTGATAATGTCCCTTTGTATTTTTTGTGTGGATGTAACTTTTGCTTGGAGACTCCACAATTTATAGCGGACGGAGCAGTTTCCATCATACTTGATTTAGGAATGACATTAATTGAGTTATGCATGGCAAGCTTGTTGTGCATGGGAAAATTGATAAAGTGAGTGGTGATGACATATTCTGGTTGGCCTGTGATTTCTTTGGTTGGTTTGGTATTTAGGTTGCTCTGATTGTATTAGCGAGGGAAAATTAGAAACTACATTGATCACCTCATGGCCCCAAGAATTAGATGGGTCAACACGTTATTTGATTCTAAAGGTTTTACTATTTAAGCAGCGTGTTCTGATAGCTTGGACGGGTCGACAAGTCTTGGAATAGGACGAACGGTGGTTGAGGTTAGAAGGCTGGTCACAAACTTAGGTAGTGGCCCCAAAAAAGTAGTCTAAGTCCACAAGCATGTATGAAGGTACTTGTGTATTGGAGTACAATTATGCATATACATGATCATTGTTACTATACGCCTTCTAAACCACTGCTATTTGATGCATCGCTTGCTTTTCCACTCTTAACTAGTAGAGATATGTTTGGTCGTGAACTTTTGATTAAGCTATAAATCATGTTAAAGATGAATCTAGAACCATTCTGAACAAAACATAACACCCGTAGAAACAATTCTGAACTATTTAAGGAAATTTATGTGCGTGTTTGAAACCGTTTTTTTTTTTTTTCGAAAAATAAATAATAAAAATGAAAACCGTTTTTTTTTTTTTCAAAAAAGAAATAATGAAAATGAAAACGAAACGACATTTGTTTAATAAATATTTTAAAAATGAAAACAGTGATAATAATTTTTATGAAGGAATTAAAAAACAGTTGAAAGTTATTTTCACTTTTTTGTTTTCATTTTTTAGTTCTTATCAATAATATTATAATATATTAATTAATAAATACGATTTCACTTTTTTATTACTCAAAACAATCTACGTAATTTCAGAATCGATCCCAAAATGATTTTCAAAATAATTTTATTTTTACTTTTTATTAAAAATAAAATTATTTTAAAATCAACTCTAAACGCACTCTATAAGTTTTTATCAATTGTGCCTTCTTTTAATTGGACATAATTCTATATGATAGGACAATTAAGAAGTGCATTTTTTATACTCATACACAAAATTTGCCAAAAAATAAAATAAAATAAAAGATCTTTCTACAGTGTGACATCATACTCATAGTGCACGATTTTTATGATTCGAGGAATCTCATCAAAATAAAAAAGTATACAAAATAAGGATAATAGTGAAAGGCATTTTTTCAGGTCTTATAGTAGGAATCTCTGCAAAAGAAAAGAAAAAAAGAATGATTCGCCAAGCATTATCAAGCAGTTGAGGTTTGCCAAAAGTTACGATACTGGCGTACCACGAAGTACAATGGCAAAAAATGAGGGCATGAGGCATCATTCAATAACAGTTGAAGAAGCCCTTTGGGCATCATAATTTAGTAACATACTTGGAGTTGGTGCAATGTTTGCTTCATAGAAACCAATCTTTAGCTCAAGGAACAGAATTCGAGCCAAAGCTTAACACTGAGGGAAAAAATAATGATAACAAATTAAAACAATAAATGTTTTATGAGTTTTGAGGTGGATATATCAAATTTTCTATCTTAATCATTATAATCAACGGCTCAGATCTTGTTATGTCTGTATCCATAGAAAGAGGAAATTTTGATAACCTAGCTCCTAACAAAAAACAACAAATTGGAAGCAACACAAGACAATAAACACAGACTAAGAGCGGACTAAACCAAGAACATAGTAGAGCAGACTATTACTTCTTCATCTGGAGGGTTTCTTTCTCCACTCAGTTCGTCCCCGGTTTATCTCAAGCCCATCACCTGATAGTCTCAGTAGATGCAGGAATTGCCTGCAGTCTTCTTGTTGGCTCTCGGTGGCTGAGGCAGAACCATTTGTTCCTTGAAGCCCTTTGATCGCTTCACCGTCCTCAATCGGCTCCACGCTCGTGAGAGAATCGACGATGTCATCATGTTGACATTCACGTCTGTAATCTAAGGTGATGGTCTGCAGTTCATGGCTATCAATGATTTCTTGAGGCATGCTCTGCCATAGAGAGATAAAAATATGAATGCCAGCTCGTGAGGCCCACAAAACAAAAGAAGTCAAAGGTTCTGGGAGTGCTTAAATGCGTGGACAAAAAGTCTGATGTTAAGAGGACTGCGTAACAGACACACAATCAGAAGCAGTAAGAACAACTGAGAGATATACTAACCTCCAGGACCCAACCAATGTAGGTTACATTATTAACATGCTGGTTCATGTCCAGATCAGCTCTCCGTGGCTGCCGTGTTCAAAATATACTCAGAACACAGTAGAAATTGGAACAAAATTGGATGAATAACTTAGTCTTTTCTTACCACAAGTCCCAGTTTAAAAGACTCAGCAGGATCTTCCAGTTTTGGTATTTTCCTCACACTACTATTGTTCTCCTCTGGAAAAGCTAGCCTAAAAAAAAAAGGAAACAAATTGTGGATGGACTTAGTATTAAAGGATCGAATTGTTTCGGAATTACTTGCTCATATCACTATATGTGATATAGAGCTTCAGGGTTTACTTCAAAATGACAGATAGGGTCTACATCGCAACTTAATGAATCAAACCTATCATCCTGTGAATCCAGGTACAACAGAATAAACGTTTGGCATGAATTAGATTTTAACGAACTGATGAATTGAAAAGGAGCCTACCTGAGTTCTCTTGGACAAAAGACTAAGTACTCATCTCGAACATCGTCACTAACTTTCTGAAGTCGTCTGGTGTCTTGGTTCATCATCACCCACTTACTGAAACCACAACACAAGCATATATAGTCAAAACTCAAAGACACGTAGAATTAGAAGTGAATAGATAAATTAATCTGACCACACGAATTCTTGCAACAGCAAAACAACTAATCATTATTACTTCAGTTTTCGGTTTCATAATAGAAAATGCTCCGTAAGAACACATTCAGAACAGAAAAAGGAAGAACAAAGCGATGAATAATAGCCTGTGCGCTTTTACTTCAAATCAAGCACATGTAAGCAAGTAAACTCATTATTACCAACTTTTAACTTCCAAGAAATATTCAGATGAAGTATAAATGTTCTTTGAACATAATTGATCAACAATTTATGTATTTAGGCCATCCTCCAAACACAACTTTTAGAGACTGCAATTACAGGAGAGAGAGATCGCAGCTGTCCAAAGCAAAAATAAAACCCATAACCTCTAGAAGCCAACATTAAAGATACAGAATACTAAACCTTAGAGACGCAAAACTTCCATAAGATGGAAAAAAAAAAAAAAACATGGGCTTCATTGATATAAAATATAAATTAGACATGCACGTACTTGCACATGATTTTCGAAGACACACAGAAAAATACCATTTTATCAATTCCATGTTTCTGAACTTAGACAAAAAAAATAATAAAATAATAAAGGCGGTGCGAAAAGGAACCTCGTTGCTCTTCCAATGACTTGACCAGTGGCATAATCCTTGAGTATCCAATCACGTCTTGTCCCAATTCTACCTTCGCTTTGGCACCATGTTTCTATTTCAACCACATCACTCCTACCTCACAATAACATGCCCACATGTTATAAATGAAATTTTTAATAGAAAATTCCCTATAATTGCAACTAGAACAGTAGAATAGAACTTACCAAGCTGGGTATTTATAGATTTCAATGTGCATGCGAGCGGTGACCCATATGAGATGCAATTTCCTCATGGTGGGCGTTGTTGCAAAGCCATCAGTCGAAAACCCAACACTCTGAGCATGGTTGCACCCAACCTCCTGCACCACAAAATTTCACCACAAATTTTCCCGTTCACAAAGCTAATTCAAAAAATATATATAAAAAATAAAAACTAAAAACTTTTTACTCGTTTGAAGCCAAAAAAAAAAAGAAAAGGTCTTTCATTCAGATCATTAAGATGCAGTGACCAATCATGAAGTACAAGAGAACCAACAAATTAACGAATTTTCTCAAAATTTGCCCCCAAAACGGTTCAAAAGCCAAATCAAGACCAATTAACCGAGCAATAATTTAAGAAATTGAGAAATTGGAATCCAAACGAAAGAAACAAGAAATGCAAGCAGACAAAGACGCCAAAAATTAAACTAAATTAAAATAACAACGGATTCAATCGCGACGAACCTGCAAAAGATTAGCAATGGTCTCGACAGTGGCAGTCTTGTTAATCCCAACCTCGTAACACCTCACAATGAACTTCTCCTTATACGACAACCCGTCCTCCGTCAAGCTCCCCAGCCTCAGCCGGTCCGCCAAGCTCCCCAGCCCGGTCTCGACCCGGTTCGTCGCTTCCTGCGCCGTCATGCCGCCGCTCCGGTCGGAAACGACGGCGAGAACCGGACACCTCGTCGTCGGAGAGCAAGACGACGCACCGTCTCTCCGGCAGGTGGAAACGGGCCTGGGTCTGGACTTGGGTGGGCCGAAGAAACGGCATTGGGCTAAGGATTGGATTTGGTCCGCCGCATTGCACGAGATCTTCAACATCTTCCTTATTCCTTCGCCGGAAAAAAAATGAAAGGAAAAGGAAACGAATAAAAAGGCTCGAAAGCTTTCTCTCTCTAGAAAAAGATTGGTCCTTTTATTTCTCTTGTCTCTCTGTTGCTCTCTAAGAGAGCGTCTAAGAGAGTATGTGACAGAGAGAGCTTTCAGTTTCAGTTTTTTTTTATATATAATTTTTTTATTTCAACTCTCTCTACGATAGGACCGAGGAGGAAAATGGGTGATAGAAATACCATTGGATTTGGGGATTAATAACGATTTTGCCATGGTCGGCGGCTTAACTGCCAAGTGCCAACTGTATTAAGAAGTTGGGCAAGTGGAGCGAAATGTCTGAACATTAAGCACGTGGTGCTCTAAGCTCACGTGCGTTTGTTGGCCTTTTCTTGGAGGCATAAACGTCGTCGTCTGGAGCCGTTGGTGGTTGAACAACACGACAACAGATAGGGAATGTCCAATCAGGCTTTTGGGCTCGATAGTTGATGGATTGGCAGCCCAGAAAATTGGGCTCACATAGTACGACCCTGGGCCTCTTAAAGGATCCACGTAGAAGTTGGTGGAATATGGATAGCAGCAAGAGAGAGACCCAGGCTTACTTCAAACTTGACATTCAAGCTAAGAAATAGTAGTTTTCTTTTATGTAACGTTATAATTAATGTGTTAATTACTATTTTAATATTTGAATATAAAAAATATTTTTTAATATAATATTATTTATTGTGTCAAATTATCATATATTAAACCATCTCCAATGTAAATGCCAATGACAATTGTATATTTACCATAAAAACGTGATATTATATGTTATTTTCATTTTTATTCCAATACATAATGTTATTTGAAATATTAAATATACTTTTTCTCATAATTATTAAGCTTTAAAAATTATAAAAGTAATTTTTATGTTTAAAATAATTAAAAAATGTAAAAGTTACAATAATTATATAAAAAAGTAAACATTTCAACCAATAGCAATTAAATGTCAAAATTTTCACATGCCATACTTAGTGGAAAATTTGCCACAAAATATAGCATATGAGAAATTTAGCATAACAAATAGCATTACATTAGAGAGTATTTTTTACACTTAAATACTAAATTTATAATTGACACGTTAATTATAATATTATTTTGGAGATGCTCTCACTAGTTTAATTCCGACCCCTTTACCTTTCGCTTTAGAGATTTATCTACTTTGAAGTTATAATGTATTTGATCCATCCGTTGCTAAAGTCTCCGTTTATGAATAAAAACGCATACAAGGATGACATGAGGGTTTTAAAAAAGGATAAATAATGTTGAGAATTTCAGATTGGATTAATTTTTAGCGTTGACATTATTTTGGGCTTGTGTTGGTGGTGATTGATTTGATTGATATTTGAATATCAATTATTGATATGTTTTGGAAAAGTTCAGTTTATTTGGAAACTGTTTAGAATCAATTAAATTGTTTTGATTTGGAGAAAGTCAACTTTTTGATGTTTTTAAAAAGTTAAAAATTGATGAGATATTTGATTTGCTGCAGAATATTTATTTTAGAAGTTGATTTGCTGCAAAATATATGTTTTGGAAAGTTTCTACTTCGAAGAAATATATAGTTTGGTCAACTTTTGGTCCTTTTTGGTAAGTTGGAAATTGATGGAATAATTTATTTGTGATTGAGATTTTGCTGGGTTGGTGGAATCATCCATGTTTCAGAGGAATACATCCAGGTTCGTGTAGTCTTATATGGGAAGATTTCAAGAATCACCACTATTAGCCTTTAGATCAGTTTTTGACAGTTATGTTGCAAGAAATTGTTGCAATAGAATCTGCAACAGGTTGTTGATAGTGGATTGCATTGAAGATCTTTGACAGCTGAATTTTTGGCTATTTAATTAAAGTCTCTCAGTGGTCTCAACACGTCTTTTAAGTCCCAGAATGCAGTGAATCATATCATTTTGTTGACATTTATTTTTCACGTTCTTCGGGAGAAGAATTTGTAGTCTTTGAGAGCAGACGATTTGAAGTGTTGAGGGGAATTCAACCAACGTTCTGCAGGAGAAAAATTTAAAGCTTTCGAGAGATAGCGCACTGCCAGTCGAAGGGAGTTCACCGTACAGTTTTGAAGTCAAGGGGAACTCGCTGAGGAAGTCCATTGGATAGTTACAAGTTCATAGGCGTCATACTTAGAGATGCAGTCTCGGGGTGATTAAGTGTTTACTCAGTAGATTGTTCATCATGTGGAGTAGGTGGTTATTGAACCGCGACACTATTTCTCTTGTGTCTTTTATTATTTCACGTTCTTATTTTCATTTGTTTCAACAAATCTTATATCAAAACGTAATAAAAGATTAAACCGGTACCAACAAATAAAGGGGGAAAAATCACAGATTGGGGGGTAAATACGGGCCCCCTCCTCCCCAGCAATCTGCAAACCCAATTCTGAAGGTACATTATTTTTTTCATGCAAGTCCTAAGTAGCATTTTTACACTTATTTTCTTCTTTTGTTCTTTTAAAAAAAGAAGAAGAAGAATTGATGTACGTAACCTAAGTATGTAAGTAGAATAATAAAAAGAACGACCAAAAGACAAATACAGCGGAATGCCTTAATCCCACGTTGTGGGGTTGTAACTTGTAAGTACTTGATATAAACTCGTTAAGTATTAAAAAAAAGAGAAAAGTACAAGTGAGTTACAACTTTACAAGCATTTGGCTTAACCTCTATGATATAATCAAAACTCGTTGAAATATGATTAAAAAATTACAAGTGAGTTAAACGTGATTTGCTTTTTATATTCCAAATGTAGAGCAAGCATGACTTTGAATTAATTATTAGTGGAATGAAAAATAATTAATAACGAGTACTAATTTTTTTTTTTTAATTTCTATCATGTAGTCCGATATATAAATCATTATATGCGTATTAATCAATAAGTATCGCCATGTATACGTATAGATGTGAGATGCTTTATATTAATGTGAACTACTAGGCAATGATCATACATTGTTTTATTTTAAGGGAGTTCATACACTGTTTGAGGGAGTTCAAGCAAAAAAAAAAAAAAAAAAAAAATCATAAAGAAAAGGTCAGTCAAAGGGATAAAAACAAGGTAATTTCCAGAAAGCTTCAGGCTGCAAAACCCTCTAGAGATGTTGTTTATAATTTGCAATATTTTATCATTTTGATTATGATAGCGCTTTAAACATCTACTAGTGTGAAAATGTGCTTCGCGCGCATGTGTTTATTATTACTATATGAAATTTACTTATACATCAATTTAAATGTTTTTGAGTTTTTGATTATGATAGCGCTTTAAACATCTACTAGTGTGAAAATGTGCTTCGCACGCATGTGTTTATTATTACTATATGAAATTTACTTATACATCAATTTAAATGTTTTTGAGTTTTTTAAATAAATTTTTTTATAATTTTGGTAAAAAAGGCCAAAAAAAAAAAACTCATTTCAATTGTGGCAATTTGGATTAGAAAAATTTAGAAATGTCACATACGTAAAATAATATTTTAGAGGATCATAACAAAAGAAAATATTTAAATTGGGATGATGTCGAGCTTAAATCTCCACTCCATGTTAAGGAAGAAAAAATCAATTTTAAACTATTATAAAATTATTTTGATTAAAAAAAAGAATAAAGATAGCAAGGAAAAATATAAAATGATCAAGAACTAAAAAAAAAAGAGAAAGAAAATAAAGTTAAAGAAAAAAAAAAGTTAAGCAAAAAAAAAAAAAGGGAAAAATAAAATAAAAGAAGTAAGATAAGTGCGTAGAGCAAGATAAAAAGGTTTTGTCTCTTTTATAGTTTTAATAAATAGATAATATATGTAATAGATAATAGACATTGATGTAAATATAGATTATATGAACTAAAATCCTCAATATTAACCTCAATAGTGAGTAAGATAAGTGCGTAGAGCAAGATAAAAAGGTTTTGTCTCTTTTATAGTTTTTATAAATAGATAATATATGTAATAGATAATAGACATTGATGTAAATATAGATTATATGAACTGAAATCCTCAATATTAACCTCAATAGTGAGTTGCAACAGAAAGTGTGAGGTTGATCGGTACTTGCTGTAAAACCTTGCATGTGAATATCTGGTAGGGCCGTTCGAAATCCGTGAAAATCAAACGATCAACTTTTGTCCATCCTTCGCTATAAATTGGATATACAATTTTAGATGGATTGTAAAATATACAATTTTAAACTGATCTGGACCGATTCTCATGGCATATGATAATCTACAAGTGCAATTTTCTAATGAATAATAATCCTTTCTTTATGTGTATTTACTTTAAACCGTGTCACTTAAATCAATTTACTTGCTTGCATTTCACTCATTTGTTTGCATTAGATTTTTTTTTTTTTTTTTTTTCATACCTCGGTTGAAAAACGTATTAGCTTTAAGCTAACTCATTAAATAGTGGAACGGTTCCGTTGTCTGAAGTACATTAGAGAGAAAATAAAGAAAGTGGGACTTTTCTTTCTTTCTTTTTTTCTTTTATAAGCAAAGTGTGTCTTTTTATTTATTCTTTATGATTGCTGGTTAGATCATAAATGCTACTCTTATTAACTCGGGATATTTTGAGGTAAGAAGTAATATCTTTGTACTTTTTTATGAACAACTCAGAATCTATCAGCATGCAATTATTCTCATAATTAACTTGATAACGAAACATTTTTTTTCCCCATAAGTTGATTTCTCAACAGTATTATACAGCCCCATATTAACTCGGGATATTTTGAGGTAAGAAGTAATATCTTTGTACTTTTTTATGAACAACTCAGAATCTATCAGCATGCAATTATTCTCATAATTAACTTGATAACGAAACATTTTTTTTTCCCCATAAGTTGATTTCTCAACAGTATTATACAGCCCCATCCTTTGTGCCTATATCGATTTTTATTTATTTGGTATGGCTATGGCTATTCACGTCTTTAATGTGAATGCATTCACTTTCACATATAACTTTAACGGTTGATTTTCACATCCAATTTCCTAAAATGTGGATGCAAAGATAAGGAAAAACACCCTTTTTGTCCGCCTTTTATTTCTTGGTTAATTTCCACACTTGTGTGCTATATGCAAACGGTGCTTATTATTTATTTTTTATTTAGAGGAGCGGAGTATTTTTTATCGTCATTCCTTTTCTATTGTTATTCGTTTTTGACATTTAATTTGCTATGGGCAAACGTAGGACAAATTCTTAAAAGATATCAGGTACTTGCTAGGTTTTTCATACATGCGATTATAAAAGTATTCTCAAAATACAATATTTATTGTCCAAATCTTCAAGAATATACGCACAAAAACAATGAAAATTAAGAACAACTTTTATTCAGCACGATATCCGAGCAAACAGAGATGTCCTCCACGTTAGGGTTATCTTTCTTTCTTTATTTTCCTTTTCCTCAAAAACTATTTATAGGATTAACGCCCTTCTTGTTATGTATTACTAGTTCATATATTTATTGTTAGTTAGCTACGGTAATAGCGAAGTACTATGATAATTACAATAATGTATTACTAGTATATTTCCTCTATTTGTTACTATGATATTTCTATTTAGAGATTATTTACGTATTAGTAAGTCAGATTTTTTTAACCGTTGAATTTGTGTTGACTTTTACATAATTTTATGTATAACTGACGCACAAAAAACTTAGTTTACCAGTATGTTAGCGTATTCAAAAATATCTCATTTTTATTTTACCATAAAAAAAAAGATAATATCTATTCTATTTTTTATTTTTTGTTTTCCCTAAATATCATACCCGAGTTTAGGAAAGAGAAACATGAAGTGCTCTTATACCATTTATACTGAAAAAAAAGAAGATTTGGAACCAATAAGCATGACATACACATTCTTTTATTTTTAAATGACATACATTGATATTGATTGATATATGTAATCTAAATCTAAATATCATAAAAAAGCATAATCAGTTTTTTTGGGGGAAAGAAACGTTTCGTCCATTTCTCTCCTCACAATTAGCCACGTTGTTTTTTAATTCTTTGGTGGAAAAACGATTGTGTGCGGTGAGCTTTAGCGTAAAGGCCATGTGTCAAAACGTAATTGGGTATCTCCTTAAGTGCACTTCATGTGGCACAAAACAGACCGCTAGATCAAAACGCCGCCATGTGTTGCAATTTTAATGATCAAGAAGAGCACACTCACGTGAAACTGAAGTAGATGATCCCGCGCATCTCTTATTGTGGCCGACAGCCTTAACCACGTGTCATGCTTTGATTCATCGAAAGAAGCAAGTGGTGGGGCCCACCTCCAGTGTTGCTCACGCCTTTGTCCCCTGCCCCACGCTGGACTTACATCTCCTTGTTCATTTGTTTCACGCGCCAATCACAGCCGCTGACTTTTTAAATCCAACGGCCTGTGATAAATCCCATATTATTTTTTAATTATTATTAATTAATGACTAATTTTTAATGGATTTGTAGTCCGATTTTATCCGTTTTAACACCATTTTGTGCCAAATTTTTGATACTACTTAGATAAAAATACTCTAAATAATCGAATTAAATTCAAAAAATACACTAAATAAAATAAAATCACATCAAATTAAATTAAACAAAACAGGTCCATACGGGCCTATGATGCAATATCTAATCGTTCATTTACGTGGCAATGTTTTAAACAACCATCAATATAAAAATTACAATTCATATGACACATTAGTTTGTATACAAAAGTCAAGATTTAAGTTGGTGTCTCAAAGATTATTCATAAGATATATATGAACAGAAAGACTGCGTTTGGTATTGATTTTCGTTCCCAAAATCAACTTCTGCTTGTAGCAAAAGCTGATTTTAATGTTTGGTAAATCTCCTCAAAAGCGCTTTTTAAAAATTTTTAAAGTATCTACAGTCAAAATCAGAAGCAGCCCAAAGGCAACTTTAGCTTTTAGAATGTGCGAAAATTAACATAGTGTAATTAATAAACTTTTCCATAATACCCCTAATAAAATCTAAAATTTACAATCTTCTCAATTTAAAATTTAGAGTCGTAATATAATATAATGTAATAATAATATTATAATAAATAATATCATGACTATATTAATAATTTTAATAATATTATTTTATTATATAATATGATATTATAATAATATTATAATTGTTTTAATAATATGATATTATAATTATTATTTTATAATAATATTATAATAATATTATATATTATATTGTATTGTTATAATTATATTTATTATATTAATAATTAATATAA